GTGAAACTGATTTGAGGCTTGGCATATATATAAATATTGTGGCGAAATTGTCGAGATATATGGAGATATTTATTTATGGTGGGTCACCCTATCAATTCACAAAGCTGACGACAAGGGAGACAATCCATAGGCGAAAAAAAGACAACAACCGGAAAATGGAGCATTCCCCAAACAAAATAATACGGTTTATAGCTATTAATGTTTATTCACATTATTCTTTTACCTATACCGACGAACATCCCCGTATAATCCTCCTTTAAACTGCGTTCAATAGTTGTTTAGAAATCTAAGAAAAATCTGACGAACTCATAATCCTCAATAATAATTATTTCAGAAATCAATATCCCGGCACTTTAAATCAGAGTCAAGATAGGCTTTATTTTGCAATGTGTGTAATCGTGTTATAAATTCCTATATATAAATACTGATCTATTAGATAAGTATAAAATTAGTTTTATTGATCGGTGTTATTGACAAAAATAATGTACGACTTTGATACATTTAGCTTAAAGGGGGTATAATATCCATTCTCAGAAAACGAGTCGTCTTTCTCTCTCCAAGCTTAAGCTTTCGATCTGTAATACGGACTTTCCGGTAGCTCATTCTACACATTTATTTTATGAAACAAGGCTTGATGTCTTACTTTTCTGTACTTTGCCTTGACAGCTTTGTTCCAGCCCCACCCCCCAAATTCCGAGGAACTTTGTGGGACAACAACACTGGCATCGAACCCTGTTTAGTGAGCCAGACCTATCCCATGTAAAGAAGATGATTTAAAACAGATTTTCTTGGTAAAGTTTTGGTTTAAATAACTCAACTGAAACATGTCACGAAACAGTTTTCTTCATAAATGGGTGGGACTCACATCTTCCAAGGCAACCTTCGCTCATTTTGAGACTAACATGTCGTTATTTTAGATCATAGTCACAACGAACAAGCAGTAGTGGTGATTTAGCTTGCACAGTGGCATATAAAAAGGTGGAGTGGGTGTCTATTGGTTTAACACGCGTGCATGAAACCGTAAGGTCTGTCATTAGGTCAAATGGTGTGGTTTCGATCCACCATTTGCACGTGGCAAGGAGTAGGGTCCCCTCCACTACTAAAGATCTCTACGCGCAAGCGAATTATTGAATTAAAACTATTAACCACATGTTAGTGCCTAAATAACCTAGTCGCGTAGACGTTAAACCCAAGCTCTGTCTGTCTGTGTGTCTCTGTCTCTCTCTTTCTCAAAAAAAAGGTAGAAGACTATGGCCTAGCCGAGTCATTGAAATTTAAAAAGTTCGAATTATGTCAATTTTGAGTTTATAATATCCTCGTAAAACCTTGGCTATGCAGTACTTACTCATACTGAAAAGTCCTGGTGTTTCGAGAATGAGTCTGTTGTTCAGACTTTATATAAAATATTAACGGTATGTGAAGTTTATAAAACGAAAAGAAAAATCATTATAAATGAACGATGCGTCACACCCCCTCACTTTAACGTAATATTTCATAATCAGACCTAAACTTTTCTTCATTTTCAATTTCGTTTTAGTCTCGTTAAGATGAAAGAGTGCGATATTTCATCATAAATTGCGCGGGAAATCTCGTTTATCACCAATAAGTGTCGGCTGCTTCAGATTGATCTGTTCGTGAAACATACGAGCATTTGGTTCATTGCTGCCAATATTTTATCTGAATAATAAAGTTAGGAAATGTTGTATTGTTTTAAAACCATTTATGTCGACATTTACCCAAGAATTTTTGGAAACCGAACACGGAGAGGGCCAAATATTTCAGGAGTTTGAGCACCAAAAAGGGACATTAGCATATCAGGTTAAAAGTAATTATACTTCCTAGTTACTATTATTATTTTTAAAAAAAAAGAAAAAACACGTATGGATTTAAGGGGAATCGGGTTTTGTTCATTACCCCCTCTAATGAAATTCCAGGGTTAAAATTTATTGAATGAAAAGAAATTTTTTTTTTTTGCTGTATTACGATATCCCCTTTAAAATACATGTGAACAATAAATACATAATAGGCGCTTGTGCCCGACCCAGCCCATCCCTGCAATAATACATTGATGTTTATTAATTGGTCACTATTAACTACTGTGTACTGTATTCTTTGGATGTGTAACTAGGTCAAAACAATTGTCTGACCTGATTGATTTATTGTTAATATAATATATTATAGAATATTGGGTTTAACTGGCGTTATTTTATCTTTAAACATACATTATGCAAGAGCTAAATATGTCTATTGCAGGTCTTTCTTTAGGCCTGAAATGTTATCTAAATTATTAATTATAATCAACTCCCGATGTCAACGCTAGCCTGCGATATTTACGGGGTTACGATCCAATTTGCTGCTCAACTTTCATTCATGATTTAATCATGAAATAGATGATCGAGACTGCCAGTTCTTTATCTAGTCACTCATAATGCATCTTTAAAATAATATCAGTCATCTGATAAATAAAAATGAGAGGGATAGATATCTTCTTGATGGCTAATCAACAGCTCGCATATATCCTTTGGATATGCTTCAGATACCCATTCACATTGTAAATCTTCATTCCAGCGACAACGTATAGTCGTTCGGATAGTACGAAAAAACGAGGTCTCGTGTACACACTGGTGTGCACGTAAAAGATCCCTCGTCAGTTGGAATTCGATGTAAGAGTAGGCCGTATCGCGGCTGTCCGGACAAAATACCCTTTATAGCAAGCACTGTACGACTTCATTAGCCTAGTCGGAGCAGAACAGTAGGGCTTTAAACCCCATTTCATTTCATTAACCCAGTCGGAGCAAAACAGTAGGCTCGGGGATCACGTGGCTAAGTGGGTGAGACGCTGGCTCGCTAGCCTGGAGGTCGGGTGTTCGATCCCTGCATTGGCACGTAAAAGATCTCTTGGCAGTTGGAATTCGATATAAGAGTAGGCCGTAGCGCCGCTGCCCGGGCAAAATTTCCCCGTCTTCATTTTCCCAGGTTAGGAGCAGAACAGTAGGACGTTAAACCCCATTTCATTTCATTTCATTTGCAAAACAGTAGGACGTTAAACCCCATTTCATTTTCAATATTTTGCAATGTTTAGGCGACAGGGCGAGTTAAGAAATACTGAAAAAAAAACCCAATAGTTCCGCAAGTCAACAAAAAAACGCCATGAAACAGAAATGGGAGACAAGGGGTATAAATAGAAGGCAATACATTCGTCTGTATTTTTGGGTGTACTGTGTCCGTACGGTGCTCTCGATGTTCATAACTGTTGTAAACTATTTGTGTTGTGTAAATCTCATTCGGCAAACCTCAACAGATTCCAGTACCCTACATCTAATGTAGGATTCCGGAATCTGCCGAGTGGTGTAAATCTCAGCGACAATAAACCACTGATCTCTATTTATAGAGATCAGTGCAATAAACGCCATAAAGCTAAAGGGAGACAACTTCTATTAAGCAACAAGGGATGCGGACCACCATATGAATTTTGGGTATACTGTATCCGTACGGTGCCCTCGATGCCCATAACCGTTGTAAACTATTTGTGTTGTGTAAACCTCAACGTCATTAAGCGTCATAAAGCTGAACAGAGACAACTAGTGTTAAGCAACAAGGGATGCAGACCACCACATGAAGTACTTTTTGCTTAGTCTCTGTAAGTTTGTTACGTCTTTTTCGAAGGTGATTTCCTCAATACGTATGTTTACTTTTTCCTTTCCGTCTAAAGAAAGTGAATATTCAACAAAACCTAGCAGAAAAGTCAAATTCAAAAACATTTATGCTATTCTAGACAGGAGCCATATTTTCCACTGACTATAATGTTAATTCATTTCTCTTTGCCCAGTTGCAACATTCTGCTGGGCTGAATGCTCTCTACCACAGACTGAACTACACCTGACTAAGTATTACCCCAACGCTTCTATGCCTTTTACTGTGTAAATTTTGAGCTGGACAAATTGGAAGTAGCATGTAACTTCCCTGAATGATATCACCGCATGCGCACCCCCCCTCCCCCAATAAAACAAAACACATTTAACCTGTTATCCGCCCACCTCTACTCTAAATATTAAACATCTGACCGAAAATGTCAATTCAAATCCTCTTCTTTGAATCCATACCAAACCAGCGGTTGTCAGGCAAGATACGTCCATATTTACAAGAGATGGATACAGAAAGCTAATAACAAAAGCGTTTTTTCATACAATCAGCGGTCATAATCCAGCAATCTATGGTCTGAAATGCACAAATATCGAAAGGGACCGACATCTTTGGGATATAAAGATATATTTTTAAGTTTCATCAAAATCAGATAAAAATTGTGACTTCTAGAGGGCCCACAACCTTCATATTACATACTTTGCGTACAAAGAGTGGCCATTTTGTCAGGCTGTTTGTTTCTATATTTCAGCAATTCGAATTCAACCTTCGTTATGGTGGAATGGTGATATATTTAAACGGTTTTTAAAATCAGATAAAAATCCTGATCCCTAGAGAATCCACAAGCTACCCCCCCCCCACCCCGATTTTTTACAACATCAGGGGCGATAATCCAGGAAGTTATGGACTGATATGCGTGAATATCGACAGGAACCAAGATCTTTGGGTTATAAACATATAGTTCAAGTGTCCTCAAAATCAGATCAAAATTGTGGCCTCTATATGGTCCACAACCTTGATATACCATACTTTACACTCTTTTCGTACAAGAGGCGACCATTTTGTCCATGAAGTTATGATCCGATACATACCAATATCGAAAGGAACCAAGATCTTTGGGCGATAAAACCTATATTTCAAGATTCGTCAAAATCGGATAAAAATTGTGACCTGCACGTGTCCACAATCAAATTGTGGGGAGACGGACATCCAGATGGACCGGGGCGACAGCATAATAGGTCCACATGAAAATGTGGGCGTATAAAAATTAAAAAAAATTGAAATTGGTATGCTGAGATGAAGGAAGTAATTGGTGGTCTGAATCTGCAAGTTACCGGTACTAAGCACAATAAACACCATATTCAGAAATTGTTTAATTGTCTAAAGTTTACTTTATGTTTAGAAAGATAGGTTGTCAGGCAACGAAACATACGTCCACAGCAGCTAAATCGTCCGGGCAGTCAACAAGTGTTGACGCATATTTTTGCTTTTTTCGGTAATGAAACATTTATAATACACTAAAATCTGATTAAGAGTAACAACTCATGAAGTAATTATCAGAAAATCATTAGAAATTGTTTGGCTTTTAGTTCTACCCCATGCTAACGTTTAGTATACGAAACATTTAATATCATGGATTTCGGTGTTCGAGTTACCAAAATTCATTGAAATTCAATATACTTGTTCGTTTCAAGATCTTAAACTCTGTTCATCAATCTAAAGTCAATCGAATGATAACTTTGGTCTCTAAAGCATCCACAAGATTTTTCAAAATGATCAAGGCCCATAACTCTGGTAGTAATTATCGGAAATCATTGAAAATCACTAGGCTTCTTTGTCTTCCGACCTTAAATACTGTGTATAAATTTAAAGTCAAACGGAAATTAACTTTAGCCTCTAGAGCGTCCACAAGATATTTCAAAGTGATCAAGGGCCATAACTCTAGCAGTAATTATTGGGAATCGTTGAAAATCAAAAGTATAAATTTCAAGTCAATCGGATATTAACTTTAGTCTCTAGAGCGTCCACAAGATTTTTCAAAGGCCATAACTCTGGTAGTAATTATTGAAAATCACTGGGCTTCTTCGTTTCACGACCTTAAACACTGTGTATAAATGTGAAGTCAATCGGATATTAACTTTAGCATCTAGGCATCCACAAGATATTTCAATGTGATCAAGGGCCATTACTCTGGCAGCAATTATCGAATATCGTTGATAATCAAAAGGCTTCTTTGTCTCATGACCTTAAACACTGTGTATAAATTTAAAGTCAATCCGATATTAATTTTAGTCCCTAGACGGACGGACGGACGGGACGACGATAATATACAACCAGATTCCAATGTATAAAAAACTGCTTTGTACTTTAGCCATGAGAGGTTGACCGTGTATGAAGTACGACCTTGCCGAGGCATCTCATTATCTATTAAAAGTTCAAATCTATTAAATATAACAGTTTCTCACTTTCTCCATCTTCCTATTCAGTTTTTGTATTGTTATTTTTATAAATGACGGCAACAGAAACAATGGGCGACAATATGAAAGTCTGCATATTTTTCAGCCATTGTCACACTTTCACATTGCAAGTGTGGTTTAAAGAGATGAAAGAGAATGTGAAGGTATGAAAATGGAGATTGGTCTATAATTGTTGTTTATGTGTTGAAAGGAATTGGCTGCAGCAAGATTACATAGACAAATACAATTACAAAATTCAACAAAATAAATTAACAGCAAGAAGTGAAAAAAAAAATATGGAAGTGCATAGTGAGAGTTACCTGCTTTGCTTACAACATATGCCATTCAGATGATATAGTCATTAAGGTCATATCAATTTAAACTTTATTTTTTCATTACAATTTAGCTTTAAAAAAGTTCTTGTGTGCTTACCTCAAAGGGTTTTAGTTTCTCGAATTTAAGTCTGGAAATTGTTCACATGAATCAAGAGTCTATTTATTAAATGGGCATTAGATAAGATTATATAAAGAGCTCACAGTTCTCGCTATATTAGTTAAAAAAATAGATAATGAACAGAAAATGCTGAAAATTTCAGCCAAATTACTTCATTCTGAATGAACAAAGATATAAACGATTAAATTTTAAGCTAGCCTCCATCATCATTACTAATGTTGCTTCTATAATTAACAAAGTCTAGATTACCATTTTACGTTAAATCATTCATCACAAAATGTATTCAAATCCACTAAATATCAGAGACTAACAAAGAGTTGATTATGGCTTGGATCAGTTAATTAATGTCTAAGTTAGGTAACATTTTAGGCCTAAAGAAAGACAGATTTAGCTCTTGCATAGACAGATTTAGCTTTTGCATAATGTGTGTTTAAAGAACCAAAAATTAATTTGGGTTGGCCTAAACCTATACTTTAAAAAAAAAAAAGAATTAAAACATAATTAACACTAACAATGACAATCTGATTAAAATACAGATCTATATTTTGTTTCATTTTTTTATACTTTCGATGGCTCTACTACATGAAGATCTGACCAGTTGTAGTGGGAGACCACATCAGGGGTCACACAAGCGTTTTTTGACCCTATGACGTTAGACATTTGATTAATCAATCAGCATTGATGTTTCTAGTAGGATACTTACAGTTCTGCGCACCGCACGCCAAGAACTGGCTGTAACAGACCGTTTGATTGGCTAATCCCTCATGTCAAACAGTCAACCAAAACATGTAACAACTCTTTAAGATTCTAGTATGGTAAAGACAAGTAAAACGAAATTTTGAACTATAAAAAATGAAACAAACTAGGCTCTGTGTTTTAATCAGATTGTAACAATGACCGATTCACATAAATTAACAGAAATTAAAATTGTTATTGATAAAAATAATTTCATAAAAAAAATCCAATAAAAATAACATAACATGTACATGACATTATATAATATAATATACTTATATGTATCCGCTTTGAATCCCTTGCAAACTACAATATTGTGGAAGTTAAGTATCTAAAAGGAACATATCAGTCCAAAAATTGTTAAATTTCTTTTTAGTATTTAAAAAAGTCAGCACAGCACGCCCAGTAAGAGTTGGGTAAAATCTGTTGAAGGGCCTATTTCTGTAGGTCTTTTGCTAAATGACCATAATAGTGAGGATTAAGTTGTAAAAAATGAGCTATTGTCTGCAAAATGCACGATTTTAAATTTAAAAAAAAAATAATTCCACTTACAAAATAAAACAAAGCTAACATTTAATTTAATTACTATAAGAAATTTGTTTTTAAGATTTATTAATTTCTTGACCACCACAAAATTCATAATTATTTCCATGTAGGCCTACATGATTTCAACAAAAACAAAAACAAATAAATAAAAGATAAGAAAAATATCACAGAATTACTCTTCAAAAATTTAAATTAAGTTCAAAAGTTTCTCCTCGGACATCAAAATTCTTCCCCGCTATTCCTCCATGAAGGATCACACGATTTTCATAACACAAACAAATATGGCCAGACCGACCTACACTACTTGTTCCTAGTTTGTAAAAATTACCCACTGGTTTTGTTGTCATTAGATACATATCACCAACCGGTTCACGACACTTGCCATCAAATGTCTCTCCTCCATGAAGAAATAGCCCCCCGGGAACTGCTAATGAGATATGATGTCGCCGACCTCCTGGGAATTTTGGCAATGCTTTGAGTTTATCTGAGATGGAAATAAGTTTTGTTAACAATGGGATATCGTGCGTAATTTTATTCGCATAGCCTGAGTACACCTCTACGAGTTTATCACTCCGCCCTCCAATAACAAAGACTTTATGACCAATGATTGAAGTAGAATGACCAGATCTTGAGGTAACAGAGTTGCTGAATTCTGAATATTTGAAATCGGTGTCTGGATTTCCTGAAAAGACAAAACATATTATACTCTATTCAATCACCATTCACAAACTGCTTGACCTTACAACATTCTGAAAGTTAAAACTCAATTGGGAACATTCTAGTCTTAATCTACTGCTCCCACCTAATAAATGAAATGAAATTTAACATCCTACCTTTCTGCTTCATCCAGTCTAATAAAGACGCTATTAGGGCGCTATGGCCTACTCTTATTTCGAATTACTACTATCAAGGGTTGCTTTGCTTGTACGCCAATGTGTACATAATACCTTGGTTTTTAGTCTTATCCGAATGACTACAATGAAGGTGCTGTTCCTTGCCAGAATATTCATCCTGCACAAATGACAAGGGTAAAACTTGCCGGAAAACCTGGAGGAAGTTTCTCTGCCAACACCAGATAGTACCTGGGACTGTGAGGATAACAAGCGAGTGCCTTAACCACTGAGTCACGAAGTCCTGTATCACATTCACAAGATTCAAAAGTTGTGTGAGAGAGAGAGAGACAAATGGAGATTAACGTCCACTGTCAAGCGAGCGCCTTAATCACTGAGTCATGAAGTCCTGTATCACATTCACAAGATTCAAAAGTTGTGTGAGAGAGAGAGAGAGAAATGGAGATTAACGTCCACTGTCCACTCAACACAAACTAAGTCATTTCGGGACTAACACATGGTTCAGTTTTATTTCAGTAATTTAATTGCGCGTAGGGGTCTTTAGCAGTGGGAGAAAACTGGAGAACCCGGAGAAAACCCATGTGGTTGGACAAGCGACCCAACTTCAAAAGTCGTAACTCTGTGATTTACATTCCAAAAAATCCTGAAAATCAGTATTCTTTCTTTACCCAGTAAACATTGCAAATTTTAAAAAAAATCAAAAAAGGCTGCCAACATGGTGAGTTTTCACAAGAAATCATGAATAGGTGACAAGCGGGAGGAACTTGAAGACAATATATTCCCCGTAAAGTAAATGGGGGCATACACCTGCAAATATTGTTTAAAAAGAAAACAACAAATACCAGATAATAAATATGCATTTCCATATCTTCTTTGCATGCGTAAACTCCCATCTCTTCCAATAACTAAAATCTTTCCATCTGACAATTCAGTTACTGTGTGAGAGCTCAGTCCTCCATCTTCTGGAAATCCAGTAGATTTGGGGAATTTCCATGAATTATTAACAGTATCATAAACACAGACTTTTGATGTCCGCGCTTTTCCATTCCAGCCACCCACGTATATGATGTAACGATCTTGAAGTACTAAACAGGCATGGTGGCTTAATGCAGGACTTTCGGGACTCTCAATTGGACTCCATATTGACGAATCCAGATCCAGTTTAAAGAGTTTATTGCATGGAGAGTTACTTCCCCTTTGTGAGATTCCACCATGGACTATTATGGTTTTACCGATAATACAACCTGAAAGTACCAGAATCATTTTAATGGCACAAATCCTTTTGATTTCCTCACTGATTTGAATTTAACCAGGTTGTACTCGATTTCTAATGAATTTTAAAATTAAATTGAGCAAAACTGTTTCCAATAAACAGTAGCCTATTTACTTTATGCAAACTAGTCAATATAATCAATTTCCCTTCAATAAACGTTGTTTTCTGTGTCAGTTAAAGCGGAAATTGCAAATTTTCTAAGAAAGTCAAAACGTAATTATTTCTATGTCTTTTGCTCAATAGGTTGTCAACTCACAATTATACGATCATAGGTGTCATTCTTACACTTAAAACTCATTTACACAGGAAATAATAACACAATTACCTCCCTTGTTTTCTATTCTCCACCATGGAGTAGCTTTTTCAAATGTTTGAAAATGAAGAGGAAAATGATATTTTTGCCAATTTCTCAGCTGGCAATAGTGAATTATAGGATTAATAGGATTATTCTTTAACAAGGTAGGACTGTTTATGGATACCATCTATTTTCAGGCTTTATTTTAATAAATTTTAAAAATATAACTTAAAAATTTGCAATTTCTGCTTTAAAGTAGCTAAATCTGTAAACTAATATTATCCATAATATTCAAAATTAAAAACTAGAATTAGAATTCAATATTGCTATTGGTCCATTTCATTCAAAATTGAAGTTGCATTTTTCCATGAAAATATGGGATCCTGATATCCAATAAAATAGTAACATTGTTTTCTCTATGCTGTTGAGCTTCATTTGCAATTAAAGACAGCCATTCAATTTGGACTGCACACATATTGCACCAAACATAACTGATTAGCAATTACAATAAAGAATTGAATTTAATTCAGTTTCATAGACTTGATAATCTTACCAGCATGGAATGCTAGTGTTGGCCCAGTAGGTATTAGAACCTGCCAATCTACTAGACATTGTGAACTTAATTTGGTCGCCATTATGTGGAGAAGGACTTTAACTTCTTCATCTCTTAATTAGATTCTATAGTTGATCATTTTTTGTTGTCCATGTATCTGCAAAAATTACAGGTAAATAATATAATTCTTTAGTCACTATGAGACTAACTAACATGGTTAATTGTATTGACTTCAGTCATCTGTGTAATTCTTTCTGTCTATGTAAGATTTAGATAAAGAACTAGCCATTCTTGCTATGTAGGGGGGAATCGAACAAGCGACCTCCAAGCTAGTGAGCCAGCGTCTTGCTCACTTAACCACCGTGGCTCCAGCTTCCAAATGACTGCACAACATATTAAGATGGTTCTTCTAGGCCAGCACTGTGTTATAAACTGAGACATATCACCAAGAGTTCAGGTAGTGCAGTCGTTGTTGTTTGTATTTTAGAGGAGAGCCGAAAAAAGCTCACCTTAATGAACAAATTGAAAAAATTGCTCCCCTAAACAATTTCTCCCGGTTTCGATAAGAAGAGTGATTTAGAAATTAAGCAGAGAGATCGGATATTAAGGAGAGTGATTAGTTGTTGCGGTATTCCAACAGAAATTCTTGTCAATATTTCTAAATATATATTGTTTGTATAAATTGTGTTCAGAATATAATCATAAACGCTCGAAAAATTCCATCAAAATAGAATCTATTTCTTCCGGAATTATTCTCATTGGAAATTATCATATGCCATCTCTCTTAACTTCTCACAGCTCCAAGAGTTCTACTTTAATTTCAGCAAATTGGATCCTAATCCAATAAATATCGCAGGCTACGGATGACATCGAGAGTTGATTATGGTCTGGATAAATTAATTAATATCTAATTAATAATTTAGATAACATTTCAGGCCTAAAGAAAGACCTTCAATAGGCAGATTTAGCTCTTGCATAATGTATGTTTAACCAATGATGAATAGACGCCATCTATTTTTAGCAACATATTCATCAGAATTTTATTACCATGTGCGATCACATTATAGACCAACACTAATCGAATACACTAAATAAATGTTTACAATGACAGCATGGTGGTGATCGGAATGTGAGTCTTTCACACTCTTTAAAAAAAAAAAAAATATTTAGGCCTATGTCCATGTTTTACAAATAAGGACAGCGATTTTCAGTTTTAAGGTGAGGGATAAAACCCTCAATAAAAAATGACTGCTTGTGCCCTGGGCGCTCAACTGCATGTACCAAATTAAAGGCAATGAATGTTTAATAGATACCTAGCATGCATGTGCAGCATCTTTGTAAAAATAAAAGAAGTCGGATGCGTTTACCGGTAAATAAAAATTTATGTTAATTTTTAAGAACTTGACATATGTTAGTCCATCAGTTTCTCGCATTAAACATTATGATACACAACTAAAGGACTGTTTTAAATAAACTTTGTGGGCAGATTCTGAAATAAAGATTTAAACCTAAGTCTAAACTCTAAAGACAATATTATAGTAGTCTGTGTAGAACTTACAAATGACATGAAATGAAAGGGAGTTTAATGTCCTATTGTTCTGCTCCGACTGGGCTAATGAAGACGGTTATAGTTACAAACAAGAGGTAAATATTTTTTATTTGTTTGCCGTACGTAAGCCTGAAAATGAGAGAGAGAGAGAAATGGGGTTTAACGTCCACTCGACACAAACTAGGTCATTTCGGGACTAACACATGGTTTAATTTTGTTTCAATAATTCGCTTGTGCATATGGGTCTTTAGCAGTGGGAGGAAACCGGAGGACCTGGAGAAAACCCACAAGGTTGGACAGGCGACCCTACTCCTTGTCACGTACAACCGGGGAATCAAAACCACACCAGACTTTATGATACAGCGCGTGCACGCTAACCATTCAGCCATCCAACCTGAAAATGAGTTTTATGCAATACCAGTTCTGACTTTGAGCTTCAATCAAATTTTATAATGAGGTACCGCACATCATGTAGGAAAGGATCTTTTATACATGGTACAATGAATTAAATTGGTACCGGTACCATGAATTAAAGGAGCTAAATAGCTAATATTTGGGACCTAGAAAATGACACAAATGGGTCACAACGCATATAATAATGTAATATGAATTTATATAAACTGATTTACATTCAATCGTTTCCGGTTTCACTTTAATATCAAATCACATATGTTCGACGAAATACGCCAGAAGTCTCAATCGAATGACAATCTCTAGCGTCTGGTTAATCGATCCAGTTTAAATAGTATTTATTGCGCATGCTCACCAAATAAGAATATGTCGTCGCTGGCGTTTGACAGGAATTTGGATGATATGGAGTTGGAGACTTAGCTCCTTTAAATTAATCAAACACAGGACTGATCTGTCTTTATTCTAGCACAATATCATATATTGCGGGAAATATTGTGTCAGTGTGAAAAATGTTTCCCACTCCAGTAAGAACATTATTATTCCCTTTTGCCTTAGCTCACCCTTTGGTCAGTGCAATCACTTCAATCAGTGAGTAATCAGAATCAAGTTTTCCCTTGGCAGCTGACCTATTGATGAGATCCTGAAAATTATTAATTTTATAATACAGTAGACAACAAAGAAAAAAAGCCGCGAAAACACCAAGAAAATTCCTTTATAAAATAACAATGGAAAGTTGTACAGCAGGTGCACTATGGAGGATCAAGCTGAAGAAGAAAAGTTAAAACGAAAGTAAAATTTGCAAATTAAACCATGGTACAAAATCCTTGATAACGCCAATAAAATCTGTGTTGGTCAAAATTCAGTTTTTGGTTTGGTTAAAATTTAAACTACTGCACTGAAATTCAAACTTAAAGTCAATGTATTTACCATTCGATCACTTGCCACCTCTGGTAACCAACGACTCGTTTTTCATCCGCCTAAATATTCGCCATATTTAATGCCCGGATGTGAGACTAGTGTCCCACAGTTCATTGCGAATTATCGGCGCCCTAGAAAATTTTCCACCTTACCAAGAAGTCGAAATTTTATCAAATTCACTAATTTGAAAGGTAATGATAAAGAAATGGTGGTAATAGTTCAATTGCTTGTACATTTTTGAATGAGGCAGCGATAATTCAGGAACCCAAATACAATAATCTTTCTCAAAATATGTAATGATCTGCCTCTGAAATTGTGCTTCTTATGTCAATGCACATCGCCAGCGGATCATGCGCCGAGCCGAGGCTTGAGGGCGATTTATGTGTAGAAATGTCTCCGTGTAATATCTTATATTGCCTTTTGTGGCTACATATGGAACTGCAGAATATCTTTCAAACACATGGTTCTTTTATTACTGAGATTCCTGTCTTGGTCAATAATAAATTATGTGCTGCACAACAAAGTCAATATGTGGAGCCAAAAGTACAAGTAGGATAATGAATGTAAATGGGAACTCCTAGTCCTAGCTAACTCCATCCATCAAATGGCTAGCATACAATGATTATATGTATGTAGTCTTTAATCGTTATAAATGTAGGGGGTCAAATAATTACTGTAATCCCTTGAAATTAACAGTAAATTTGTTGAGGAATTGTGCTAATTTTATGTGAATTCATGAATAGATTTCTGGCTCTGCACCGTTATCTAATTTATGACAATATTCTACTTGAAGACACTGAATTTACTTACATCAGTTACATATATCAATGTTAATTTCAGTGACTTATGGTAATGTACATGTACGTGTACCTGTTGTTATAACTTACATTAGTGCCACAAGATACAATGTGACTTTGTCTAAGTTCTCGGTAAATTCTTATTATATTAGACCACTATACGTGCAAGTGAATTATTGAAAAATAAAATCACACCGTACATGTAGTTTGTGTTGAGTGGACGTTAAATCCCATTTCTCTCTCTTAAAGTGTCACACCACACTGTATGGTGACTGTCTTCATTAGCCCAGTCAGAGCAGAATAGTAGAATTTTAAACCCCATTTCGTTTCATCTAAGTCCCTAAATTCCACGTTGTGTTTTTGTGACTGGATAACCAAGTCTTCAGAATTTTCAGACCAGCTCAATATGCTATAATTTCACATTTTGTTACATTTAAATATATCAGGGCTGACATTTGATGCTGTATGATATTGTTTTAGTAAATTTCTTTCATTTCTTTTAGGAAATAGATCAAGATGTCTGATGATGAAGAAATTGATGAAGATGTTGATCTGTCTGTCATCAAAAAAGCCATTAAGATTTCGGGTAACATGATTGAACAGATCTTAAAAGGCATCCACTACGGCTCACCAGAGGTACGATGTCTGCTCTACAGTGAATGTGACTATATCTTGGAATGCAAAGTCTGTAGGAATTTGTTCCGTTCTCTACCAAATTTTGTGGCCCACAAACGAGCCTATTGTCAAAGTGCTTATCAAGAGTCAGAAACCTTTTTTAATGATTTAAAACCTGATGAAGAAACAATCATTGTCCAGCCCGAAGCCCCAGAAACTTCAAGTACATGTAGTCAAAAGCGCTGCAAACCTAGAACACTAGAATCCACTATTAAATTGCTCAAAGATGGCATCTTGGGTAAATCGGATGCTTACAAAGTTTATTCCAAAGCTGCAGATAAAATGGAAAGACAGAAGGAATTCCGCAAAACTCAGACGTTAACCTTTGAACCCATACCAAATACAACAAAAGCTATGAAGGTTACAGTAAGCAATGGTGAACCTGTGGAGTCAGTGATTGAAAATTCTGATTCTGACCAGGTGAGAGAAACGTCAACTCTCCAATCTACACCAACAGCAACTCTCCAATCTTCACCAACAACAACTCTCCAATCTTCACCAACAGCAACACTGAAATCGATGCTATTGAAATCAGCTCTCGAAGGTGATGGTGCTGTGAGTAATTCACATGCTGTCAATCCAGCGTCGAGCGGAAATTCGTCATCTCTGTCCAAGTCAAATACCAAGTCTTGTCCATCGCCAACCAAAATGACTTCACTAATCTCCCCGCCCAAAAAAATGACTCTTCGATGTAAAGAGGGAATAAACAGTATGCCATGGAAAAAAGCACGGAAGGAAGATAACGAGCCAGACAGCCCTCAACGGGGAATGGATTTCAAAAATCTGTTATGTTTGGACTGTAATACTGCCTTTCGTTCCCGGAAAACACTTATTTTTCATTATCAAAATGCCCATTGTGGACAGCGGACATTTTTCCCCTGTCCATGTTGTAAGAGTGTCTTTTTCTATATTTTTGGCCTCACCCGTCATTTGATGCGCAATCATAACAAATCGAAAGCTCAGGTTGACAAAATGCGCTCCAAATTGAAAAAGAGTGCCTTTGTAAAACAAGTAACCGAGCAGTGTCAATCGGCACGGCAACAGATCCACCATGTTAAGGAACTAGATGCGGAAGCAGCTAAAAAATTAGAAAGTGCTTTGGATAAGCAGCCAGATCGCTTAACATCGAAACTGAATATAAAAAGAGAAGCTGCGGATATAATTCAATGTGAAAGCTACTCGTCCCCTACAAAAGATGGCGAACATGTCTGCTCAAATTGTGGTCGGTCCTTTGGCAAAAAAATCAGTCTTCTAAATCATCGAAAAATATGTCTAACTACCGGTATGGCATGTGATGCCAATAACAAAGCAAAATCAGACTCGACAACGGAGGCTAAGAAACCTATTATCAAGAACACTGGACAATCAGTGACATCATACAAAAAGATCAAGTCTTCTGCTCTAGGTAAGCGGTTCAGTTCTAGATCAACCAGTCAGAGATTAGATTATGCCAAGATGATAAGCTCTGGGATTTCATCAAACAGTGAGGAAGAGGATACTAGTACAACAAAGACGTCACCGGAAAGCAAAGAGAAAAGTTCACCGGAAAAAGAGAAAACCGAAGATGGTAAGAGCTTCATTCAACGATACAGAAACCTTCGTGGTCAATTTGTACCAGCATCCGACAAACAAGAGAATAACAAAAATAAAGATCAGATGGAAAATATGCAAGAAGAAAAAGATACTGGAACAAAAATGGAGGGAACAAAAATAGAGGTTGAGGACACGGGTCAGGATGTAATGAAGAAGGTTCGCGTTGTCGAAGAAATTTGGGTTGACAAACAGCCTGGACGACCGACAGAAAAGATCAAATCGAACCGAACCTATGTCATGAAGGCCTCAGCAAGCCAGAAATTAGAATGTCAGGACACGAAAAAGGTTACTGCCATCGTGAATGAGACTGAATTACATTGTATGCATTGCGATCAAGAATTTAGCAACGTGTCAAATTTACGGCGTCATGCTATTAGACATTTAGGATGGAAGCGCTATAAATGTAAAATGTGTAAATTTAGTAGTTATAACAAATCTGAATGTAATACCCACCTTTATCGTACTCATTCTGATCGTTTCCGCAATGTTTCTTCGGTAAACAGCCTAATTGTTGATCTGGGAAAAGAAGGGTCGAGGGTCCGTCTGCGCAAAAAGCAACAAACCTTGATAGAAAAACAGGCGATTGAATTCAGATTATCGCCTACTCAACACATTCGTAAACAAAATAGAAAAAAAATTCAGAAGAATGAAGATCCTTCCCCGAGAAAAAGTAGTGCTGAAGTAAAGGATGAGAAAAATCAAGAACGTCGGTTTAACATTTCAACGCGCAATTCTCCGCGAGAATTTGACACTCGTCCTTATCAGAAATTGGATCGTGCGACAACATTGTGTACAAGAAAAAGTTCTTATCCGAAAAAGATAACTCTAAACACACAAACTGATGACAGTGACGAAGATGACACACGGTCGAATTTATCACACACAAGTGCTAATTCTAAATCAAGTAAACTTGACTCTGCGTCTGTTATATCAGATGTGAGTGAACAAAGTGCTAAATCAAATTTTGACGACAATAAAATGGAAGTTAGTGACACTGACTCTGAGGCAACCAAAGCCAATAAACAAAAAAATCCTAAGATGTTCAGTTCCCGGGATCTTCTAGTCACGCGAAGGTCAGCTCGTGCGAATGAGACTGGAAAATGTTCTCCATTGAAGCCCAGTTTATCCAATGCTTCAAAATCAATAGAAGAACAAGAACTCAAAGCAATTAAAAATTTAACTAAGGAGATGATAGATTAATAAAGATTGACTTGAATTGATAGAAAATTGATAAACCTAGTCTTGAACTAGATATCAGTTAGATTTGATTTTTGAGCAATTTATGATTTGGTTTGGGCTTAAAATACAACATTTTTTATCTGAATCAGTAGAATTGAATTGCTTACAGTAGCTCTAGACTTAGAATATTAAAAGGCCATTTTTAATAAAAAATGTTATTTTTTGATCAAATATTAGATACTTTTATTTTTAAGAAAGATTGATTAAAACAGACTATAGGCCTACCCATCACTCAGGGCCATATTATTTTAGAAAAATTGAGGTTCAAAATTTTGAAATGAATAATTAAACATGGATTATACAAGAGAAAAATCTGCCTATGGCAAGTCTTTCTTTCGGCCTGAAATGTTATATAAATTATTAATAAGACATTTATTAACATGAAAAGACCATAATGAACTCTCGATGCCATCGAATGGCTGTGATATTTAGTAGATTTGATGAAATAACAAAAAAAACGGATTAGTAGTAATGACAATCGAGGCTGAGAGTGGAGTAATTTGACTGAAATTTTCTGCATATTCTCTTTTCATTATCTATTTTTATACGCCGTCATTTTCATGTGGACGTATAATGTCATCGCCCCTGACCGTCCGTCCACAATTTGTTTGTGGACACCCTACAGGTCACAATTTTTATTCGATTTTGACGAAACTTAAAATATTGGTCTATCTAGCAAAGATCTCGGTTCCTTTCGATATTGGCATATATCCGACCATAACTTCATGGATTATAGCCCCTGATTGTTTGAAAAATCACGTTATTAGCTTGTGGACACTCTAGAGGTCACAATTTTCATCTTATTTTGATGAAACTTGAAGTGCATGTTTATAACCCAAAGATCTTGGTTTCTTTGGATATTTGCGCATATTGGATCGTAACTTCCTGAATTATGGCCCCTGATCGTACGAAAAATCACGTTTTTAGCTTGTGGTCCCTCTAATGGTCACAATTTTTTTATCCAATTTAAAAAAACCCAAAAAACGGTTGAATATATCACCATTACACCCTAATGATGATTGAGTTCGAATTTTGTGAAAATCGGACCACACCTGGCAAAATGGCCGCCCCTCGTACACAAATAGTGTAAATATATGGTATATCAAGGTTGTGGACCCTCTAGAAGTCACAATTTTGATGCAGTTTTGATGAAACTTAAAATATATCTTTATAACCCAAAGATCTTGGTTCCTGTCAATATTGCTGCATATCGGATTGTGACTTCCTGAATTATGACCCTTGATTGTACGAAAAATTGCTTTTTGTTTAGCTTGCTCTCTATCCATCTCTTGTAAAATGTGGGCGTATCTTGCCTGGAAGCCGCTGGTTTAACTATTATATCGAGTACTCTCAGTTCTTTATCTAATCTTACCTAATGCCTTTTTAACTGGTCTTGACAGATATTTTACTTAAGGATAATAACAAAAATCTCTGCATAAAGATCTCTGAATATCCCGGTTAATATTATATAAAGATCAAATAAATTAATTATGATCATAATAATTAATGCCATATTATTTATTTCAAGGTATAATATTATATGAAGATCAAATACATTAATTACGATCATAATAATTTGTAATTATTAATGCCTTATTATTTATTTCAAGGTACATGTATATTGTCCTTCAGATTTGTCAACACATTTGTGCAAATAAAACATCATTTGGTACATTAAATATACCTTACATTTCTTCACACATGTCATGACACAAATACCGTGCATTTTATGATTCTACTCACACCACCCCCGTTTGTGCCTGACAAAACTGTGACAGGACTGAATTCTGCATTGCACTATTGCAATTCTGTGAATTCTGAACATTCTTGACTCTCAATCAAGCACCTCCTAGGAGTCTGATCCCATTTGAAAGGGGAACAACTCATTATATTTCATATTCAGTTATTTTCAGGTGTCTCAAAGTTCTTAATTTCAAATATAGTTTAGTATCTGAATCTTTCCTTATCTCTTTTAGCACAAATGAATAAGGGGTTACATGTACACCTCTAATAAAACTTTATTTTGCTATTCAAAACCTGTATCAGTATTTTGGAACATTGTACTGATATTATAAATGTATTGAAACAAAGAAGCTAAAAATTTGTACAAAATTCATGTATTGTCTTTAAGGCAATACACCTGATCATAATTATGCATTAAAATTGTTTTAATTTGTTAATTTACATAAGGTTATCGTTATGACCAAGATTTATATCTACCCAGGGTCTTAGTTTGTATAAACCATGGTGAGTCTCCTATTTTAGTAATAGGCCTTTATATGTGGTTTAATGGTCGAGAGCGAAACATTAAGTGATATATTGAAATAACATTAGTGACGTAGTCACAAGTTGTTGGTTCAATATATTATGCAATGTCTTAAGCTCGAGACGATTAAACAACTTAAAATACAGACACTTGCACACATGCTTTGCAATGAAATACGTCACACGGTCCAAAATTTTAACTTGTATAAATAATGTACGCTTGGCACATTGCCCATACTATTATTCGAAATAATTATATGCCAACATCAAAGGATAACGTGTCATTACTTTCTTGGGCTTGACACAGCTATTTAAATACAACCATATTCCTTCTGGAATATAATGTCATCATGACTTTCCTTCCCGTATGTCTCCAATTATGAATACTGTAAAGTTAGATTTTTCCTTTATACAAGCATGCTTTGATTGGTCGCCTAGTCCTTAGGAGGAATTCTATTACATTTCAGGGTTGTGCAAAAACAATTTTTTGCACAGTAAAGTTACTGCCCCTGTCACTGAAATACTGGAGTACCAAGATCCCATGTACATACATATATTGGCGTGCACATAAAACAACCAGTATGCCTGTTTTCATTAGCCCAATTGGGCTTAAAAATGGAATCCCCAAATTTGTTATTTTAGCTTTTTTAAAGGAATTCTGTAGTGAATTCTATGGTGAATTCAATTCAGATTCAAACTGAAGGCTGTTATTCCTACCAATCTTGCCACTGCCAGGCCTGACGGATTGGTACTGAACATGTAATCATTAACAATACTATATAGATGTATAAACAATGCTATATAAAAGTATGTCTGTTTAAAATACAAGAGATCTGAATATATATAAAATGTAAAATGAAATCATACTTTTTCAAAACAAATTTCACAAATATTTTTGGTAGGACTAAATATATCAATTATTCATTTATCTTGATAAATATTGACCTGGTTATGAATCGAGATACGAATCGTAACACCTGAATGACAATACATATCGTATCATGACTGCTGTGGCAATACCTAGCATTATTAATAGTAATTCAGTGTGGAGATTGGTATTAAATGAAAAAACTTGACAAGATATTTATTTATGAAAGGTCTAAAATATATTGTGTGTTTCTTACAATGAACAGAAAACAAACTTTAAGCTATTATTAAAATAAATGTTCTACTATTATCATGAATTAAAATGAATGTTATACTATTATCATGAATTAAAATAAATGTTTTACTATTATCATGAAATAAAATTTTGTTGATAATTGTTATTCACGTTAGCTACTTTTATATTGAGAGTGTCATACATAGGATTTGAAATTAGGGCTTTTTTCAGAGGATCAGAGAGGAAGAGAGATATGGCTTAACGTCCATTTGACACAAACCCAGGCGTTTTGGGACTAACATATGGTTCAATTTTATTTCAGGAGTTTTTATATGCCCACATTGAAATGTGGTTGTATATTTTCGTTGCCCCCGTCCGTCCATCTGGCGTCCACAATATTTTGTGGAAGCTCTTAAGAAATTTGTTGATTTTCAACGTTTTTTAAAAAATTATTGCCAGAGTTATGACCCTTGATCACTTTGAAATATCTTGTGGATGCTCTAGAGACTAAAGTTAATAGCCGATTGACTTTAAATTTATTCAGTGTTTAAGGTCATGAGACGAAGAAGCCTATTGATTTTCAAAGATTTCCGATAATTATTGCCAGAGTTATGGCCATTGATCACTTTGAAATACCTTTTAGATTGACTTTAAATTTATACAAAGTGTTTAAGATCATGAGACGAAGAATCTGATATATTTTCATGGATATCCGATAATTACTGCCAGAGTTATGGCCCTTGATTACTTTGAAGAATCTTGCGCATGCTGTACAGGCCAAAGTAATCATTTGATTGACTATAGATTGATACACAGAGTTTAAGGTATTGAGACGAACAAGTATATTGATTTCCAATGATTTTTGATAACTTGAACAGCTCAATCCATGCTATTTAATGTTTTGTATTATACTACATGTAAATGTTAACATGGGGCAGAACTAGAAGCCAAACAAATTCTAATGATTTTCTGATAATTACTTAATTAGATTTTAGTGTATTACCGACAAAAGTAAAAATATACGACAACTGTTGCTGACTGCCCGGACAATTTAGCTTCTGTGGGTGTATGTTTCGTTGCCTGGCAACCTATCTGTAGCAGTTTGAGGAAACCATAGGCCCCAGAAAAACCCACAACGTTGGACAGACAGCCCTATTCCTTGTCACATACAAGCAGGTAATCAAAATCACACCATGTAACTCAATGATCTAGCCATTGGACCACCCAACTCCCCAGAGGTTCATACAGACGATTTGAACTTTCGGTTGATGAAGATGACCATATGCTATGTATAGTGCTATGGGTGATATTTTTCCTGGACAGCAACATTTCTACCAACTTTTGTCGAACTCCGACTGCCAAATGTTCGTTTACATGCACACACTCGCACTTCCACAAATGCAAGATTGAAGCCTGGCAAGAATCAACAAAAACAAGGTCCTGTGTACATAACAGAACACTTGACAGTTCAAATTTCTTAACGATTAGATGGAAACACAGCTGTCAGAGGCAAATTTTCCTCAAACTCACTAGTGACACCTATGTGACAAGGAGAGAAAGTTTGAGATTATTAATATTATAGGACAAGACTTTAAACCCCCATTTCATTTCATTTATAGGACAGGATATACTGCATTCAAGAATAAAAACAGTTCCTAAGAATTGTCAATAATATTTATTTATACATGATATATCTAATATACAAAAAAATAGTAATAGCTAACAATAACAACGAACAGAACTGAAAATATTAGTCACAGTCGTATGACAACGGCTGCTGTCAATGGTTAGCTGACAAAAGTCCCATAACGGTTATCAAATTATTGTGTGCAAGTACAGTAGCTATTGAAATTATGTAAAATAGTCCCCCAAATTAGTCTTTAAAAGGCCAGAGTGTAATACGTGTATTTTTTATTCAAAGAGCTATAATGACCTATAGCTAGTATGACAAAAAGATGGATGATATATTTTCAGTTCTGACAACAACCTATAATACTCCAACATAAATATACAAATTATCTATATATATACACATAATCTAGAGTATATCTATTGCACTAAAGTTTTGTCACAAATTATCTCTAGAAGCAAAAAATTACGGTGTTTGTTTCTCGGATTACAAATCACAATTTAATAAATTCTTGAAAAATACATATCAAACAATTTTATTCGATTAAAAAATACTGTTAAATGTATTTCACATCAACTAATAAAATTTGTCACATTACTATACCTATATAAATGTTACTTCTTAGAAAAATGAGTCACATAATAATAGAAATCTAGTCTGACGTAAAAGTCTCAAGTATGACTTTGTCTATGGATACACAATTAGCAAGAAATTATCTATGTTGGATGCGATATAAATACAGATATTTTCATAAATAAAGATTGTCTTTTGTTTGTGATTTGTAATCCTTGGAATTTAGAGACAGTGGAGTTTTTAATCAAAAGAACTTTGTGTTATTTGGACTAATAACAGTATACATACGTGTAGACCAGAATGCTCAAATCTTCACAATGTCAAGGTTTTGTCATGTATGTCTGATACCATGACTGCATTAGCCAATTTAACTGGGTACAAGATGGTAATTTGATCAATTAGCATACATTAGAATTGATAGTTGCCACGACACATTCATTGTGGCAAATGTAGTAAAAATGGCATTAGATAAAGAGCAGACAGTTCTCGCTATAATAGTTAAAAATAGATAATGAAAAGGAAATATGTTCAAAATTTCAGTCAAATTACTTCACTCTGAGTCTAGCTATCGGCGACACAATTATAGTCTAGCCTCGATTGTCATTGCTGCCGTTGTTACGATAATAAACAAAGTCTCGATTATCCATTTTTATGGTAACCGCATCAACTGCAAAATATATTTAAATCTACTTAATATCTGAGCCATCCAATGGCATCGAGAGATGATTATAGTCTTGGTAATTTAATTAATGCCTAATTAATAATTTATATAACATTTAAGGTTTAAAAGTTAAAGAAATATCTACAATAGGCAGATTTAGCTCTTGCATAATGCCTGTTTTAATTAACAGGGCAGTCCCAGATTTCAATTACCATGTTTGAAAGTTAACTAGCTTAACAGGGTTACGTAACTCATATAGACATGATTATCCAGGCACTTATATATAACGTTTGTAACTCTTCGAAATAGTATCACAGTGCTTCATGTAGTTGCACAGGACTAGGATAAACCAGAATTACATATTTTTTTATTCACTAAAATATATCCAAGACTGCTCTTTTACGAAGACATATTCACAACTTCACCATTTGGCTAGCTAACCCAGTCAAGATATCACATGTACATAGCAAGACACTCAAATTGTTTGCAAGGAACAAACCAATATTATTATTATTCTCGGCTGTACAATATTTGCATATATCATAACAAAAAGCTTTGACAGTTCATCAAAGCAGGACAACAAATATTCGCTGTATAAAACATTAATAATAACAAAAATCTCTAAATGTGGAACATAACACTTTAATTAATAGTGAAAAGAATGAGCAGAATATGCATTAATAAAATTATAGCTGAACATAGTTTGAAGGCTCAACAATTCTTTCACTATTAAAGATAAATTACACCTTATGTTGTGACACAAATGGAATGCAGAAAAGTCAATCTATATTTATTCTGACTTGGATATGTTGTTAGTCTTTTCTACATAAGATCTAACAACTTAACGATTATCTGTTCTCTTTAACCCTTTATAACTTAGACTGCCTCAAGGCCCTCCCCATCACACACATAGCTGTGGTATCTGTACAAACTAATAAATGGTCATATAATAGGGAAAGCTATTCATATATCTCAGGCAATTTGATGCAAATAACAACAGTTTCAGTCTGTCCAGGGTAGTACTAGTACTAACATATCACTTTTCTCTAATTTTCTTCAAGAAACTGGGGTAGTTCGATAGTTAGTATTTATATGCGCTAAAGTGTGAAAATCTGATTTGGGGCACAGTGATTGGCTCCAACTATTCATTACCAAAGGAAAAGCATCTTTTCATAGGCTAAATGAAAGATCTAGTCAGGCTTGTTGAACGCAAACTTTTTAAAGATGTTATTAGATCTTACTGTAGTGTTAATATAAACAACAACAAAAAAATGAAAAATATGGACTAATTACACTTGCAATAAATATAAAAATGCACTCCATTGGAATGAGTCTAACTGTGGCATAAATAAAAAATTATGAGAAATATTATACAGCAACACAAATTATGCATAGCAAGTTTAACTCTTGAGTATGGATAACCTTCATCCAATAGGTAGATTTCTCATCCAGACATTAATACAAGTGGGGCATTGATCGACAATAAGTACCTTAACACACACGCAAGCACAATAAAATCATGATGTTCATCAATCCAGTTTGATTGAAATCAATTTATTTGTGTTTGAGAGAATTTATTTGTGAAGCATTTATGCAATGGTAAAAACATGATTCTCACATGTTATCGTTGTAATCTGATGTTGTTACATTCAGAATTGCAAGATTAAAGTGTATCTCTCATACAAGATTGACAATCAGTCCACAATCAATGATGCATTTTCATTTTGTTTCAGTCTATTCATCAAAATTTTCTGAATTTGTGTAAAACTATTAAGGTATAAAGGTACATATAGAAATTACAACAAAATAACCATTTGTCAAATAGCAATGCTCGTGATTTGAATGTATAGCAAATGGATGTATGCAAACAAACACAAAATCTATCACAGTATGTATAAGGTGGTGAAAGAAAATATATGGAGTTAAGCTTTTTATTCGAACATTGGGAAGTTTTCCCAACCCCTCTTATAACTATGGGTCCCTCATCGCTATTCTGTGGATCCCAATCCATGAGAGTGAAGTGGTGAAAGTGGATTTCAATACACAATTTAAGTTTTTCTGATTTTTGTAACATTTCCTGGCACACTGACCAAAAGTTTTTCACAATGTCTATACATGCATTATTAACGAAACAATAAAAAAAAGTTTTAAGTACATTTATTTATATGATATGTAATATATAGTAGCGTTTACGGTCAAGATGGCAAAGTTGTTAGCGTTTTTATTATGGCCCTCTTATTCAAAAATCAAATAAAGGTTTTTATTATGCTTTTTTTTTAAAAAATCAAATAAAGGTAGTGAAGAGAGATGAAAAGTTTAACAATACCTAGTAGATTTTCTTTTAGTAATGTACAGTGTGCAGGGGGAAAAAGTCAGAGTATTCAGAAAAAGAAAACAAAGAGGTAAGGTGGGCGACCCTACTCTTTGTTACATACAAGCATGGGTCAAACCCATACCTTGCATAGATAACTGGCTGTATGATCTACTAGGAAAGTCAAAAATTGAAGATTCCTATTTGTGAATAATTATTATCAGTCAACCTTAAGAAATCCAAATTGATTAAAGATACTTTCCCAGAACAGTATTTATCGGGTGGTTATTTCCAATAAACGTATAGCAATTTTGGTATACATGGAAAGTAGAAATATCCAATCTTACTAGAAAAATACTGGATTCCCTTTAAAAACACCCATGGAACGCATACAGAACAAAAATGTAAGGGTTTCCCTAATCGGCAGCCCGATGATTAGGAATGTCTGCTCGCGTTCCGTCAAAGCTAGCATGCGAAGCTTGAGCGCTTGATGTATATGTTGATAAACTTGATAAAGTGTTAAACATACAACACTTTCAGAGATAAAAACCATGGAAAAAGATGTGGGTAGTGGATAATCCGAGAATTTAATTAGGCTTCAATGTTTATGATTTATGGATAGCGATTAAACCAACATCGTCTTGTGTATGCAGTGGATTCTCCTCTGGCTTCGCACCTGTTGCTAGGTAGTGCGTCAGCTAAGTCATGTGACACAAACATGACTTCTTTTAATAGAGTGTTTTGAGAAGGATTTGATGCAAAATTTTGATACATTAATTAAACTGAAATGTTTTTAGTCCAAATACATCATCAAATCACCCAGTTTGTACACGGGAACGTATCTTTAATGTATGTTGAAGTTTATGACTTAAATGCAGGAAAATAGTGGGATTTCCCTTTTACTTTCTTTGATTCTTGGGCTCAAATTTGTCATCAGTTGACTGTATAGTGGGATGTCCCCTTTGTTCAGTTTGTAATAAGACAGGTTTTATTATAAGATGATGATATCAACAGAGTTATAATTATGGAGTTTATGATTATGAGTATAGGGTACCACCATAATGAGAGCTCAATATAGTGTTTATACATATAGTAAATACCTACCAATACTTCTCACCACATACATGGATCATTCTGTGTCAAATCAAGATTAGACCCTTCTTTAAACAGCGTTTAAATAAGGATATAAATAAGTTTAATGCAGTGATGGGATTTCGCCTGTATATTCTGGACATGTCCGACGCTATTTTCCAAATGTTCTAAATTGTCCGACCAGGAATATGCCCAATCAGACATCAAGACATCTTGAATAATATTCAAAATTCCCAAATTAATTAATGTCTAGTTAACAAACTATTTTGATCATTTTGAGAATGACATGGTTATTTTTTTCCATAGCCTCATGTCCAATACTACGGAAGATAATTTTGTCTTGACATCAGCTTTTCAAACCATTGGAAAGCCATATATTGGATAGTTCATTATGCAAAATGAAATTTAATTTTCTTGTGGGCTACTTCCTGGGGTTTTGTCATTGAGCTAATAATCATACCAAATTTCATTGAAATCCATTCTTTTTTTCATTTGACACAGAATGACACAAATCCAATATCAAAATTATTGGAGATGCAAAATTTGAAAGAACTTTAAATACATTGAATAACAATGATGCAAATATCACAAAAAAATGCTACAATGCGTGCCCTGTATTCTTTGTCATTTCCCTGATTGTCGTCTCCTTTATCAATTATTTAACAGTCGACGTGATACTCAAACCACCAACAGCATCTTCTAATTGTTCAACAGTTTTATCACTAGTAGGATTCTCTAGTTTATCCATGGCTACTCCGTCGGCTTCTTTAACATTTTTACTATCTACAGTGCCATCTACTGGTTTTAAAGTCTTATTAATTGAGGCTTGTTTCACAGGTTTATTAACTGAAGCGCCTTCAGCTTTGCCACCGACAGCTCCCTCTGTTGATGTAACAGTTTTTCCACCAGTATCGCCCTCTAGTTTTATAACTCCTTTACTGATAGCTTCTTTCTCTAATGCTGCTAATTGTCTGAAATAATAAAATTGATTCAACATACACAGCCAAAATTTCAAAATCATTTCTAATACAAATACAAGTAATATCAATCAATCACTAAAGTAATCAATTGAGAAACAAGTTGAACATGCCTTCTCTGACATTAAGTCTCATAGTCCTGTATTTATTAACTTTCCATATGTCTAGTATTTACACATTTCACGAGACAAATTCGCAATCTGGATATAATAAAATTAACTACCATGATATATACCTTCTAAGTCTAATAGCTTTAGCTTTTAATTCTTTATCATATTCTGCTATTTTTACAACCTCTCTCCATCTGTCTTCCATTGGTACTGGATCTGCCTGGGATCTTAGATATAACTCATTCCATAATTCCTGCAAAAAGAGCATGCATGTTAGAAACTTTACATGAACATATATGTTGGACCAAGTCGACAAAAATCCCAAACCAACTAACAACTTCAAGAATATATCAAGTTTGAGAGAATTTTTGAGACTATCATATTTTTTTTAATAGATACACACAAGGAAACAAGGCATTTTCATCCATTTCACTACTAATATTTTGAACAGTGATTGGGGAACATGCTAGATTTATATCAAAAGCTTTACCCGGTGGCATCTCTTTAGCAGTCATTGGTTTGACAATATAAACTATTATTATTATTTTATCCCTCCTTAAAAGGATCGGATGAAGGCATAAAATTTCCTGTTGATTTTCCTTCAGGTTATGCATACTTAAATAAATGCAGCTGTCCAACAAAAAGACAAGTGGTTGCCATGCATGATATGCACACATTTCGGGACTAACACATGGTATAATTTTATTTCAATAATTAGCTAGCGCATAGGGGTCTTTAGCAGTGGGAGGAAACCAGAGGACCCAGAGAAAACCCACGAGGTTGGACAGGCGACCCTACTCCTTGTCACGTACAACCGGGGATTCGAAACCATGCCAGTCGACCCAATGACAGACTTTATGATACAGCGCGCGCACGCTAACCATTCAGCCATCCAACCCACCAACCGCAAACAGGTGCAATGACAATACACATCCACATGAACATGTGGGCGTATAAAAATTGTGACTTGTAGAGTGTCCACAAACAAAATGTGAACGGATGGATGGACAGGGGTGACGACAATAAAATGGAACCAAACAAAAACATTTCTAAGAATAAAAATTTGTATATTACCATATTTGAGTATATATATCCTTTTATTAATTGTTGCTAGTTTAATTCATTTCAATTTTTAGCCTTGGTTTACGATGGTTATCTGAGCACACGTTCTTGTTAATAGTGACTCAATGCCCGAAATGTTGATTGCGACACCTTATGCCAAAACAAATGACTTTCACCACTAGAGACAAAACTTTTTATTGACAATTATTATTTCCAACATTACCCAGCAAGGAATTTGTGTAAACAATTTGTTTAAACAAACGATTACCTGACCAAATTCAACAGAGTCCAACAGTAGTTTATGTTTAAATTGAAAAAAAATGACAAACCGTTCATGCAAAAATTTGAAAATTTAAGGACTGGGATGTGTTTGGAAAAATACTTACTAAGCTTTGAGGTGCTACAGATGGCCATAAAACTACCTGGTTAGGTTGGTATAGAGGATTTAAATACTGATTTAATACTTGTGGTCTGTTGATATAGGACCTGTAAATATAATATAATTATTCTATATCTTTAACAGAGCAACCACAAGATTCTTATTAAGGACCAGAACTCTGCAAGGCAATCATCAGAAATCAGTAAATTACTATAAAGTACTTTGAATCACTAATCTAAACATTATATCAATTATTAAAAGATTATTTTGCAGGCAGTGTTTCAAAATGGTGCTCATGGACAATAACTCTTGAAGTAATCAGCAAAAATTGTTTTTAAAAAAGCCTCAGGTGATAATTATTTTGTATGCATAAACATGACCAACTTCTCCTTACCATAATGAGACAGTTGTTGTGGTTACTTTATGTACACTTTTTTCTTTTTCATTGTTACATAGGAATGTACCTAAAATATAACAGACATTGTTACATAGGGATGTACATAAAACGAGCAGATCTTGGCAGTACATACTTAAAAGACATACAAATATGAATAAATTAATTTCCTTTGATTTTGAGTTACAATCTGTATGTGGAATTATCTTTGATTTGTAAGTTATATTTTCTGCCACAGTTTACTCTGAACTTTATACCGGTAATGCAGATAGAGAGACAGACAGACAGACAGGTTTAATGTCCCCTTAACACAAACAAGGTGATTTCAGGACTAACATATGTGTGCAGGGGGAGGAAAGTGGGACATACAGGGAAAACCCACGATCTGACATTGACTGACAATAACGACTTAATAAAGAGCCCCGGTTTTATCCCTTTCTTTGAATATAATACAATTAAAGTGTGATAATTACCGTATTGTGAGGAATAAACATGTTGTATAAGATCGATTAAAAAATATTCATTAAATTCGAAAGAACATGGAAATTGCTGCAAAATCTGAAATAGAGAAAAAACATTACTAATCATTTACTAAACCATGTCTTTCATTAAATTAATATTGTGATCAAAAATATATTCCCGTAAACATAATTAGGTCACCTGTTTGATCCCATAAACGTACTTTCTCAAAAATATGATATTTATAATGTCCATGAAAAATAAAATTATTGACTCAAATTGCATACCAAGCTCACAACACTTTAAACAAGTTAGTTAAATGTATTACAAACTGTCAGTCCCAGAGTCTGCCAACGATATATTAGGACCTGTATTGTTCACAGGGTTTGTTCATTAAATGTCCCCCAAATGTACTACCTAATAGTGGCATCTTTAAAATTATAAATTGTCCATAAAGTTTCTCGAAAGATATAATGTTTATCAAAGTTGAAATGTTCTTTTTAATTTTAATAGTAAGGGCAGGACACAAAACAAAACATAAATCTACAAGATAAACCTTTGGACAAGACAGAATATAGACATTGCAAAAGACAGACATATCAAATCCAGTGAAGGCCTCCATGTGATAATCAAATGGATTAACAATTTGTCAACACATTATTTACATCAATTTGAGACTGCTTGATAACGATAAGAGAATACTTATCGAAACGTCGTGCTTGTGTATAATAAACCAGTGATTGTTGTCCCATATAACTGTATAGTTTTGTTATGTTTCCAATTGCTAAATGCCACTAAAGGATTAAATTTGAGACTAATTTTATTATTGTTGATTTTTTAATCAAATTCATGACAGTTTTGTATCTACACAGTAACATTTGATCATTTGAGAGGTCAAATGGTCACGATCGTATAATATAGATATATTTCAAGAGATTGAATATGTTACAGGAAAAACCTATGACTGAAGATAAAACCAACCTGTCTAACAGCATCTATAAACAGTAAAAAGACAGGAGATTCTTTTCTCTGTTTGGTTACAGCATACGCTGATTTAGAACACCTCAGACGGAATGGGTGACCTCCCCTGATCCATTCTCTTTCTATTAAAGCCTCAAACCTACAAATTAAAAACACAAAATGAATGAAATGGAGTTACCATCTCACAATCACTGACACATTATCTAGCATACTTATGAGTTATCAGTTTGAGACACGACAATCATTTACATAGGATCTTTGGTTAACTATACACTTAGCAATACACATTTGCTTGAAAACAATAAGAAATGAAATAAAATAATGTTTAACGTCCTACTGTTCTGCTCGGAACTGGGCTAATGAAGACAGGCATACGCTATACAGTGTGCTATGAGGGAAATTTTGCCCGAACAGCGGCACTACGGCCTACTCTTATATCGAATTCCAATTGTCAAGAGATCTTTCACAAACACAGCAATGTATACACAGCGCCTAGGTTTTCTGTCCCATCCGTATGACTATACATTGTCCCTTGCCAGGCCCTATGTCCTGCACCACTGACAAGGGCGAACCAGGTATCGAACATACAACCTCCAGGTTAGCAAGAGAGAGAGAGAGAGAGAGAGAGATGGTAGGAAACCGAAGGACCCAGAGAAAATCCATGCGGTTGGACAAGGCGACCTTAATCCTTGTCACGTACAACCAGGGAATCGAAATCACGCCAGTTGACTCAATGACAGATCTTATTATACAGCGGGCACACGCTAACCATTCGGTCATGCCCCCCCCACACACACACACAACTCAATAGACCACACGTTCCAAGTTAATCAATTTAAATTTTTTATTATTATGTCATCACAGGCCCAGAACCAGTTTTTCTTTAGATGTTAATGGGCTAACAGAATACACAGAACCAAAAAAGTTTTATAATGTAGGTGTGGTGTACTTACCCTGTAACTGTACGACAATCATGGTCTAATATAAGTTGAGCTAAAGATGTAACTTGTAGAGTTGTATCTGTTCCCTCACTACCATGAACTAGTACAGAAGCTCCTGCAATCAAAACATAAATAATACTACACGTATAGACAATATACAACTAACTCTGCTAGTGCTAGTGGCGATTAGGTCTTATTGTTCACACCATTTGTTATTTCCCTTTGTTCACCATTTCATCCACTTTGTTGGAGAACAACATTTTAACATCAAGGGGTATGAAAAGAGTTATTTTAGTCCTCTAAATTTTAGAACCTGTGTTTATAGTTGATGTAGAAACTTATAAAAACAAAGGTACAAGATGTTTTGAGGTGTCTGGGACAAAAGCTTTTTATGATTTGACATCTCATTTCCTTCCATCTTGTGAATTTCTAACTTCAAGAGTAAACAAAACATAGTGGTCTTATGAATAATCAGACCAGTTGGTAACTTATCCTGGTTATTTCATTATTGTCAAATAGACAGTTTTAACTACTGGCGGTGTATATGGCATTCACTGTAATTTGTCCTGTCTGTGAAAGCAGAATTCACTGATAAAATATTAGAAAGGCGACAACAGATAACTTGCTTTTGAAAGATTATGATCACAACTATGAAACAAATGCAAAATTCCTTTTCCCATGCCGAACCTCAAGAGTTTACTGAATGTTACCTACCTTCTTTATCTATACATTGAGCTACGACACAAGCACAAGTTAATATATCTTTAACATGTGTCATCCAGTTACTAGATTCTAACTTTGACAACCATTTATCCATACTACAATTAGGATCACTACACGCTGAAATCATACAAATATACTTTTAGTCAAGGAACTAAAAATTGATAATTTTAACTCATAGTATGTACTGTAACCTGGGTATCATTTATTCTTGCATATTTAGCTCTAATTTCTCTTACATTACTTCAATATCAAATATTCATTACAGTGTTGGTAGGTAATAAATATGACTTCAATTGGCAGCATCCCTTCATTATTTCTGAGGTCTTTGAATTTATAACCCTGACACTAGAAGAGGTTGTTTGTTACTAAGATTTAGTGGAGTGAAAAACCTTTATGTGATATAGATTACTGGCGGGCAAATCATTAAAAAATCTACTTAAAAGTTCGTTTGAAATGTTAATCTGTATAGAATAGATCATATTTTACCTTCAATCATTTTAATTAATGAATCATGGAATGCTTGATGTCTTTCTATTGGTTGATGAATTCTTCTCCATCTTGAATAATTAGCTTCTGGTTCATAACCTCCACCTGGGAAACAACACAAAATACATTAAGACATGTGGACATCATTGATTATCAGTTAGAGACAACCTGCATAATTAAACATATTGCTTGTGTCTAGAACAGATGTTGTCAATTTTAAAAACAGAACTTCTTGTATTTTTCAGAAAAAGAAGATAATCACTAATATTTAAAGTAGCCAATTCTCTAACTCAATACCACCCAAAGTCTTAAACGTTGAAAACACAAATTATTTGTCAATTCAAATCAACATTGATGTTGTTATCTTACCGGGAAAAGGTGGGTTTCTGATATCCAATATTTAAGACAAAATAAACATTTTACCATTGGTGCACGAATCATGTACCATAGTGCGTTTGAGCGTCATTTGTAACAAGTGACATATTCCACAACTCATGTCAAACGGCGATGCCATAACTTATCTGGGGAGCATGTGCAATAGACTGGAATAACCAGACGCTAGAAATTTCTATGTGGCTGAGACTCATGTCGTATTTCGCTGGACATAACTGATTTGAAATTAGAGTCAAAACGGAAACAGTTGAATGTAAATCAGTTCATATACAATCAGTTTACATCATTATATATGCGTTGCGACCCATTTGGCTCAATTTCAAGGTCCCAAATGTTAGTGATTTAGCTCCTTTAAAATGAGCTAGTCAATGATAATAAATTGTGTATAGAACTTTGGAAGTCAAAGCATAAAACAAGGTGTACAACTCCAAAATTCAATAAAATAAAATAATAACAATCCAATCCAATAAAGTTTCAAAATTTATGTCAAATACTTTGTCCTGACAAATACAGCATTAAAAATTAATTCTTATCACCGAGTCTGACACTCACCTTTCGCCTGTGCCATTTTTGCAACACTTTGAGCTCTGGTATCTACAATATAACCTCTACGACCTTGTACTAATATAGAATTAACTAATCTCTCATCTTCTTTACAACGATTACTGTTAGAACCGGTTAATGGCTGACTACTTCTCATTAATGCAGTCTAAAATAACAAAACAAAATACAAATAAAAGTAATCTAAAATACACTGTCCTTTAGAATGTTTACAAGGGACATCAGCTCTGTAAAAGATGGGTTGCCAGGCAACGAAACATACGCCAACTGAAATCATCAGAGCAGTTATCGCGCATTTATTGTTTTGTAGATAATGGGAGAGTTTACAAGACACTGATATCAATTTCATACAGAAGAATGTTAACTCTTGTGAAACAAAGTGAAACAAGGGCCATAACTATAGAAGGGTTTAACAGAAATTACTGAAATTCTTTAGGCTGCTTCGTTTTACGAATTTAAATAATGCATGTAAATTAAATAAAGATCAGTGATAACTTTAATCTCTAGTGTGTTCACAAGGTTCTACAAAGTGAAACAGGGACCATAACTCTAGAAGTAATTAACGGAAATTGTTGAAATTAATGGGGCTTCTTCGTCTCACTAATATAAACAACATCAGATAACAAATGTAGTCTGTAGATTGTTCACAAGAAATTGTGGATGATGGACGGACTGATTGACGGATTGACAAAGAGACTGAGGCTAAGGCAACATATAACCATATTTCTATGTGGGCATATAAAAATAATGATGAGTGACTCAGAATTTTGACAGTCTTTCACTAAAATATATCCAGAACAGCTCCTTTAATCTTTAATCTTATTTCAAAAAGATAAATCTACACATATGTGGGACATCCCCTTTAATCTTATCTCATATCAAAAACATAAATCTACAAATATATGTGGGACATCCCCTTTCTTATGTAAATAAGGTAAAGCTATAAATATATCTCAAATGTTATGTTTTGTAATATGTATATAGATAAGTTTAAGATAAGGTATCGGGTATAACCATAAAATTATTGGAGAAAAAACTTAGTTCAGAATAATACACCATTGTGTGAACTGGATATGGAAAGAGGGCGAATGCCAGACAAAGACTACCGTATATTACAAGAAAACTATGTTTTTTTGATACAGAATGTCGAGGCAAGGTATCTTATTCCTTATCTTCATCAAATAAATCTAATATCCACTGACGATATGGTAGTTTTAGAGAATGAGGAAGTAAATAAAGGACACACAGCAGGAATGAAAAAGCTTATTGAAATATTAAACTGGTCTGGATATAATGCTTTATCTGGTTTTATAACAAGCTTACAGACAGCTGGTTACACCCATGCTGTACAAAAACTGCAGGTAGATAATGCTTTTATTAAATTTGACATTCATCATTTTCCTTTCTTTCCTGGTGTTCAAAGTATCGTCAAATATAATTTACATAAAATATTATCAACAAAAAAAAAAGGATATCTTAATCGGACAGTTTACAAGTTTTGGTTTAAAACAACAGTCTACTTCTTGGAATCAGGCAATTTCTCATCCAAACAATTCCTTGCTGTACCTCCCTGGTGGTGAGTCATCCAAACAGTTAATCAAAGCTCCTAAAACTCAGCATAATTTGAAGGATCTTAAATCTTTTAAGGACTACAATATTGTGAAAGAGGAGTATCAGTACAAAGTTCAATTCTGTTCATTATTTACAAAGATGGTGGTGAATAGCAGATGATATAAACAAGGCAGTGCTACATACCTCACCTATAAGTGTTAAGTCGGGGGGGGGGGGTAGCAGTGGGGGAAAAGCAGGAGGAACCTGAGAAAACCCATAGTACTTGACTCAATGACAGACCTTATGATCTAAAGCCCACATGTTAAACCATTCGGCCACCCAACCCCACCCCCCTCTCAATTTATGTTAAATGTCAACTAAAAAACAATGTAAACAGGAAAGTAACTATGGACAAACAATTGGAATATTTTTACTTTTTTCCTTTTTAAGGCAACAGGCATAGATAACAACAATGAAGACCTGAATAACAATATTCAATACCAGTTACTAAACATTGTGATGAATGATGTAAAGCAACTAAAGGAGAATGATTTACGAGAAGAGGAACAAATAAAAAAGTTGCAAGATGAAGTCGAGTTGCTAAAAATAAAAGGGATGAATGATGTAAAGCAACTAAAGGAGAATGATTTACGAAAAGAGGAACAAATAAAAAAGTTGAAAGAGTTGCTAAAAATAAAAGGGAAGAAACTCTTCTCCACAATATAAAAAGCAACCAAATGATTAAACTTGATAACCAAAATAATCTGTTTGGGTGAACTTTTCCTTTAAAGGGGCCAAACCTTTGGAAATATACAGCCATATTGTTCTGCATAACTTCAGACAATATTTGCAAAACAGAATCACTAACTTTAGAAATATCTTTTTAACAAAATGCGTATCTTGAGAAGTTTGACAATATTAACGTTTTCAAATGAAATGAAAATGGATTATGAAGTGCTGTGTATATAATTTGAATATTGTTTATAAACTATAGCAGGCTGCATTATGTAAGAGCTATTTCGGCATCAAATGTTATCATTCAGACATTTATTCACATGACAAGCTTAAGCCTATATAAAGAATCTCCTACGAGTCTTTTTTGATATCAAAAAATATCAACTCAAGTCAATAATGTAAAAAGAACATGGCCTTGCCGAGGTTTTTTTTTTTATCGACAAGTGTTGATATTTGTTGATGTCAAAAAAGGTGAGTAGATGATTTTATTTATCACCCAACCATTTCCACCCTTTTTAATTGACCAATAAAATTCATGTAAAGCGATACCTCCTAGGAGAATAAGAAATTTATCACACAAGCAATATCTACTCTAGAATGTGTTATTGGGGGATAAAATCAACTCTCTATACCATTGGATGGAGCAGATGTAAACGAACTGAAATACGAAAACCATTTAAGAATTTAATTTAGAAATGGAGAAGCGAGGCTGAGTCTCTCGTGTAACGTTGCTACAATAAAACAATCTATGTCAAATCTTCAAACAATGATAATGTCACTCAGAATAAAGTAATTTAAACGTAATTTTCAATATATTTATTTTACATTATCTATTTTTGAACTATTATAGCAAGAACGGCTAGAACGTAATATATATTCAGAAAATTTTGCCTACTCTTGCCGAATTGCAACTAGGGTTCTTTTACGTGCACACGTAGTCAAGTACACAGGTGAACCTAAGTTTTCCATCCCATCCAAACAACTAGATGCTTTTTCCTTGCCAGACGATACATACAGCACCACTAACAAGGAGGAAACCAGATTGGGTACCAACCCAGGACCTCCTTGTTAATCAGCAAGTACCATACTGTACAAGACTAAATAAATACATGTATGTTGTGACAGCCTGTCACTGACAGGTAATACCAATGGTGTCATTCATAGAAGCAAAGACATTAAGAAGGAAAAAATCTCAAATTACAAACAACAAATCTTTTAAAACTGTTCATCAGAATCAGATTTAATTTTTGTCTTGGGCCATTGTTTATCATTAAAATATTTTATTCATTAAAGGGACAATATTCCAGGGCCTGATTCATAGAAAATTCTTAAGCACGTTCCTGTGCTTAGATTTTAAGTAGACTTTGCATTTAAGTAAACTTACCTTATTTTGTGTTCCCAGAAAATTCTTAAGAACGTTCTTGTACTAAGATTTTAAGTAGACTTCATTGTAAGCAGAAGAACGTTATCATGCGTTCCAAGAAAAGACTTAAGCACAACTTCGTTCTTAAACATAGTCAATCTAAGCACAAGTCCCAAGCAAGGTATACGGCTTGCTTACCAACCTTAAGTCTGCTTCTGCTTCTAAAAGATTGCTGACCGTAGAGTTATTCGACACCTTTTGATACCAAAGAGACAATTACAAGACAGAGAAAATCATTCTCCAGAAGAAATTAAGAATGCTATAGAAAATTTCGCTTCTACCCTGATACCATTTTATTTATTTGCCAATTAGTAAACAATAAGCTACAAACACACAGGCTACTTTAAGATCAGACGCTCTCACAATTATTCAGTTAGTTTGTATGTGTCTCGTTTTTTATCTTGTGGCACATTTTATATGTGTATAGGGGACATGTCAAATGCATCTAAATCAACCATATATATATATGAAGTCAATGAAGCAGACAACAAATTTATGACGTAATTCGCATACCAAAGTTGTTTTTATGACGTTAAAGAGCATCGTAGTCTCAGTTTATGGTAAACTTTACAAGTCACAATGTGCTTAGACTTATACTTGTCTTGTGCTTACATAAGAATGGTCTTGAGAACTTTAAGAATTTTCTAGGAACCAGGCCCAGGGTTAAATATTCAAATAGATTTTACATCTATGCACAATCACAACTACTCTCATTGAAAATTATATTATTCCTATGGAGAAATAATAACGTAAGTTATTGCAATTTGAAGTTTACATTATAGTGTTTATCTGCCATCTTAACTTGTATGAGTTCACCAGCTCATTCTTTAAATAGCCTTTTATGGTGGGTATTATAATAAGCTGCGATAAATCTATGGATTATCTGGTTTAATTCAACAATCTCAAGTTACCTTTATATTAATCAATATACTGGTAAGCTATTATTGTACTATAGTATTTTCTTATAATTAACATCCTGTTTGCCAAGTGTGTACAGATTTTTACATTTGATTAAAAAATACCGAGGCTGAAGAAACTTTACTTCTGTTGGTTTGTTTCAAATGTATACCTCCTTCTCTGGTAACAAGTATTTTATAGAGCTTCATATCTGTATATCTATTCTGTTTGTGTTTTGTTGTACAGTTTTCCTGCACTATCTATAACTATGTGTTGTAAACATGGATCGTAGTCTCATGCCAGCCAGTGATTACAGCATATTACAGAATAACTATTTATATTTAATACAAAATATTCAAGCTGAGGATCTTATTTCACATCTTCATCAATATAACATATTAACTGCAGATGACATGGAAGCTTTACGGAAAGTGGTCGAAGCTAAGGGCAATAAGGAAGGAATGATAAAGATTATTGAGAGGTTAAGATGGTCCGGATCTAAAGCTTTGTCTCTGTTTTTAACTTGTTTAAAGGAAACCCGCCACACTGAAGCCCTTGATCAACTTCAGGTATTATTATATTCCATAGACTTTCCAAATATATATTCAAGTGTAAATAGATATATATTTTATATTTCTGCTGTAATCTTTAAATTATATTATCATTGAGATATCACAATCTGAGAAAAACATGACATTGTCAGACCCACATCTAATTGTGTCTGCTAGGAAGGCAGTTTATCACATGACTAAGGCTGAAAAACTTAACAAGACCATTAATGAGATCACTTTTTAGCAGCTTGTAATTTCAAACATCAAGTAGTATCGGGCAATATCACTTCAAAATATTTAATGTTTTTATTTTTAATGCTCTTGCAAAGGCCACTGATCTACCTAACATCAAGTCCACAGACCTACATGTGCCTAACAAGGCCACCAATCTTCCTAACAAGGCTACCAACCTACCTAACAAGGCCACAGACCTACATGTACCTAACATCAAGGTCACAGATCTTCCTAATACGGTCACCGACCTACCTAAGATCAAGGCCACCGACCGATCTAATATCAAGGCCACAGACATACCTAACATGTCGACCATCGAACCTAACAAGTCCATCGACCTACCTAAAACCAAGGCCAAAGATCTATCTAAAAACAGGTCCACTGACCTACCTAAAAATAAGCCCACAGACCTACCTAACATAAAGGCCACAGACCTACCTAAAAACAAGCCCACAGACCTACCTAAAAACAAACCCACACACCTACTTAACAAGGCCACAGACCTACCTAACATGAAGACCACAGATCTACCTAATAAGGCCACAGACCTACCTAACATTAAGGTCAAAGACTTTTCTAACAAGCCCACAGACCTACCTAACAAGTCCACAGACCTGCCTAACAAGCCCACAGACCTACATGTACCTAATACGACAACCACAGATTTACGAATCATGAAGAACACAGATATACCTAACATAAAGACCATAGATTTACCTAACAGAAAGGCAGTTCCTCGAAACAACAAAACTAAAGACCTAACTAACAACGAAAAGACTTATTTTCAGCAACTAGAACAAACTGATCTGGTAAAAAGTAAACCAAGAAAACCATCAGATAAAGAAATAAATAAAGATGATGATAAAATCACACTAACTATACATGATTCCAGGTAGGTGTTTGTATAATAGATATCAGTGCTCACTCTGGGTTTCATTTTTTTTCCGCCAATTTTTCATTTTAATTTATCAGCCATATATTTTCTACGCCAAAATAAAGAATAAATATCTATTAGATTTTTTCAGTATTTTTTCTTTTTATATAAGTACATACAATATACATATGATATTACAATTTACAAAATTCTTCTTTGCTTTGCAGAAGCCCATTTTTTGAAAGCTTTTTCAACTTAGTAACATTAAATTACACAGTGTATTTGTTTTTAAAGAATATCTGTATATCTGAAAATGTCCATTCATCCTTAAAAGATCTACCTTTTCCTAATGCGCTTAAACAAAAATGGATAATCGAGACTTTGTTTTTTTTATTGTACCGACATTAATGATGATGATCGAGGCTAGGCCTAAAATTCAAAAGCTAATATCTCGGTTCAGATTAGATATTCAGTATGATTAAGACAAGAAATGAAGTGGGATTTGCTGTTCTACTTATTTGCTAGAACTGGGATAATGAAGATGGGATGACACCAACCGTGTCCGGGAAATTTTGCCCGGACAGCATGATCAAGACAAATAAGTCAGATGTATAATCAATGTTTAAAGGGTAACATTTAGTAATTAGCATTTACAAGTATTAAAAACAAAACATAAATAAATGCCTTCATCATGCTTTAACACTAACTCACAAAATTCTAACACATTCGTAAAGTAATGTTAACAAGCATTACATAACTACTGCTTCATCTGACAGCAATTATGGTCAGCTATTTACATTGGTGTACGATTCTCCTTGTCAAGTACAGAAATATCATGTGCATGTAACAATCAAGACATTGGCAAGCAAATTTTGCATAGATAATTAAAACAACGGAACATAATTCATATCTATTTGTAGCAATAGTAAATGAGCTGGTAATGCTTCTTACCACTGCTTCTGAAAAATGGTGATGTAGTAGATATATCTTGTTTATGTAATAGTATATGTGTGTTTACAGGATTGGTATTTCTGAAGACGATGATACAAGTTTATGTGTAAAGAAGGATATGACTGTAAAAGGGTTGGAAGATCTGATCAACCAGGAAATGAGAACAAAGTTTGTATTAGGAATTACTATTAGCAGTATTACTACATATGAACAGAAGTGTGTATATCGCTCATACAACAATAACAAATTAAAACTATCACATTATGGAGTTAAAAGTGGAGATATTGTCATGTTGTTACCGGTAGTACAAACTCTGACTGATTTAAATTGAGTGTATGTATTTGAAATGTGAGAAAACTTGTGCCCATAGTGAATACTATTTGATAGTTACGATAGTGGATCTACAAGACAGAAGCAATGACATGTTATCGGTAATAATACACTATGGATATTATAGATATTAACTGTTCGTTCAGTTTTTATAGGATATCTCCATGGCCACAGCCATACCAAGCTTCTAACACCTCCTTCTTTCTCTTCAGCTCAGGACATGCTATTGCTGTTTCATCTCAGTAAAATGTGAAAATGAGAATTATGTTTGATTTATGTTTGGTGTCTATGTGAATGAAGTTAAGATAATAACACAATTGTCAAGACAGACTACAGCTCGACCAGCATCTTGCTATAATCTATGAAATCTACCAAATTGCAAAAGGCAAATTAAGGGTAATCGCAGGTTTCGTTATCGGCAATTACTCATTTTAAGAAATTACTATTTCCAATTAACAATTTGAATAGTGTTGTATTGTCTAATGTTTTTGTGTGTACATGTATATGTTATGTAAGTAACAGTATTATTTTATATATATAAACATGTAGCATCGTGTTTTATGGTTTTTATATATAACAGATGTTAATTGTCTAAACAGAAAGATATTAACCTCCGTTTATACCCATGCTAACAATATACACTTTATTTCAATTATGAGAAAACATGGCAACATATCACTTACATCCGGGGATGTTAAAGGTACACAATGCTTCTCGGTTGTTAGAAGTAGCTACCATCTTGTATTATTTTACTCCACTAACCTCTGGGTCCATCCACGGGTGAGACGCAGTCAAATTATCCACCTTTGATACTATTTCTTTTGACCAATTGAGTGGGAAAAGGGAAGTAACTCGCATTTTATTGCCACTAAGATTATTGTGGTGAGTGTAAAGAATGACGTTAAGACTGGTATGTAAACTACGATCAAGGGCAGAAAATTTGAATTTGTGAAAACCCTATGGATGGACTCGGTGGTTTGTGGAGTAAAACAAAACAATACCACTGTGGATACTGAGAATGTGCCTGATTTCTACTACAATCTTTTTCAAAAACAGTTATAGTTTGTAAACTTTCAACAAAAGTTCATAAAATGTTTGCCACCTCAAAAAGCATTTTTACATCAGCATCCGTCAGAATAAAATAAACTTGATATTTTTGAAAGCCATATATTATAGTAGAAATGGTCTAGTTAATTTAGACTATAGAAGGCCCCTCTACTCATAATTACCACCAATTATCATCTTAAGAAAATTGATGAAGTAGACTAGATCACAGATCCTTTTGTATTGAAAGTAACCAGGTCATAACACATGGTAGACAACATACACAATGATGGTCTGAATTAAAGATAGAGGCTATGTGGCAGGTGTGTTCCCACTTAGCCGGCAGACTGTTAATCCTTTGATTGATCTTAAAACTATAGTCTGTTTAAAAGTAGTCACTCAAGAACTGTTCACTAGTGTTCAGCGTTAATGAGCTCTTAATCCCTCTTAATAAAATTTATTAACCAACTAATTAATGACATTTTGAACACAGTTCATGCCGGCGTTATGAATTCAATTCACTATATTAATATAAATAGGCTTTGAGTTAAGAAATATCGACAACTTGATACAAGAATTGAACATTTGAAAACACAGTTATTAAATGGCTCTTTAAGTGTAAATCGGTATGGAACAAATATTTCCTATTTAGTGGGGCTGTAAAATGATTGTTATGTTGTAAGGCATTTATTTATAAATTATATAATGCTATTTAATAAAAGTTAAATGTGTAAATTGTAATGCATTTTTATATGTGTAAATTATTTAATGTTATTTAATAAATATTAAATTTGTTAAAATCAATATATTTTTATATGTGTAAGCTATTTAATGTTATTTAATAAAAGTTAAATTTGTTAAAATCAATACAGTTTTAGTCTTAAAAAAGATATGGACTATAGTTTATAACACCATTGTTCTAGGATTAACTCTGGATTAGCGGCAAAATTTGACATCAAAGCCTGCCGGGTAAGTGGGAACACCCCATGTGGCATTAGACTTATCTTATAAGTTGATTCTACAGGATTGTTTATCATGACTTTTTGCAAAGCTATCATTAGGTAATACATCTCCATTGCAAGTGCTGAAGAAAATCAGCGATTTTTTTACCATCTCCACCTATTATATTATGTAAACTAACAGAGTTAATGGCATAGTAATTCCAGACTGAAGCCAGTCAGATGTCAAGCTTTACTATAATCCCAATACTACTACAGAGAAAGCTGCAAACAGAACCTACCTTATTATGTCTGTGGAAGTAACTTAGCACCGGAAAACGACCATTCTGTCGAAACTTTGCAACTCTAACTATCAATTCATCTTCTACAGATTTGGGTACAATAACAACACTAGGATATGAAGAACAAACCTAAAAATAAAATTAAAAAAACACATTATGTACTATGGCTCAGTTTTCCTATAACTTGGTATAAGATTTATCAGACTATACTCATTGACAACAAAGTTAAAGCCACTTATCATACAGTAATACCGATATGGACCAACACAGACACAGTCTGCTTATTCTATTGCCAGACAGTCAGCTTGAACAAATACAATTTACAAGGGCTGGCTGAAAAATTCTAAGCCTATATGTCAAAGACCTATACAAAGTCAATGGTTTCCATTTATTTTCCTACATAATAATAATCGATTATCATTCTTCCAGAAAAACCGAACTTTACCGACCTGTCATTTGTGTTGATCGAGTTACAGTAGTGTTATTATCCTAGTCTATTACTGTGCCGATGTACGTAAAAAAATCAATTAATGTAAAATAATTAGTTGCTAAATGTAGGATTAACTTAAGTATTATTCTAAGTTTTGTTCTGGATTCATTTGAACCTTTTTTTTATTCCAATATCTCCAATAAATACAAAGACAATACATGGTTTCTCTTTGCAAGTTACTGGCGATCACACAGTGTTACTAATAATAGAATAAAATATAATAGAAGGCGTCTATTGATTGGACAATAAAAAAATAATTACCGGCTTTCAAAGTAGAATTTTTATGATTGGTTAATTTTGACGAAAACCAAAGTAGAATTCTTCCAAGAAATTACGAGAGATATAGATATTTTCCCGGGAAGTCAAAAACGTGTTTTGTATGGGCTGTATCTGACATGAGTTAGTAATAAAAGCTGAGTTGATCATTAATAATACAATTAGTTTTATCGTGAAAGCAGACAATCTCTCTACAAATCAATCAAGAGCAAAGAAGGGAGATAATTCTAATTTTACTATATCACGTGCGATCGTCATTGTTCACAAAGTGCGTGACCTATTTTAGTTTCAACTAGTAATAACAACAAAAACAACGAAAATATTAAAATAATGTATTTAATCTTAAAGTTTAGTTTTTTTACAATAATATATATTTAAAATGTGCCAGTTTGTAAGCAGAGGGGGGAAATAGTTGTTGTGTTGACGTTGTGTATTCGTTCATTCGTCTGCATACCAGACTACGGCAAGTTCAGTCATGTGAAAGTGACCGTAACTTGCCGTCAGAAGGTAAATATACCGATAATCGATATTTGAATTTCAATATCGATTATCGTATCGCTAAATAACTTCTACCGATTATCGATTATATCGATATTTTTGCACAGCCTTACTGGTAATAAGACAATAATCACACTACAGTTGCTGTTTTATGTCTATGATTCATTCAATGATTGTACTTGGTGGTAAAAGATTGTTTCAACCCGACTGATCTTTTAAGCTTAGAACTTTTCAGCCAGATCTTGTACATGGTCACTACATGTGAAATGAAATGAAGACATTGTTTGAAGATCATCAAGAATGTATACATAGATTCATTTTATATTACAATATAAAATTGATTTTTAACTAAAAACAGAAAAATGAGTAGAAAGTCTTCTCAAGTATGACTAAGTTATTTTGAGACTAACATATGTACATCTATAGTTCAATAACTCGCTTGCACACATTAGGCCACCCAACACCCCTTTATCTTTAAAGACACAGTATTTTTTTAAATGTTTGCTATAGAAACATTACCTTTATAAAGGCATGAACAATACAGCCATGGTTAGGCACCTTTTTTCAATGATTATGCCTCACTTGATTTGTACTATAAGCTTTATCATGAAAAGGTAATGCAACTATTAGAATTCTATATAACTCTTTTATTGAACCTTTTGTGATGAATTTAATAATAATCAAACAATTGTCTGGATGTCCTGCACATTCCCAATGCTATAGGCAAATAAAGCATTCTAGTTATCTCCTTTACCTCCCCATGCATTACAGTGAAATAATCAATTACCTGATAATCTTTGTTTACATAACTTAGTCTCCATTCATCAGAACATTCTTTATGACGGCTAAACTCAGTCTCTGGTTGAAAAGCCTGCCAACCATCTTCTAAAATCTCAAACGATGGTTGATAGAAAAATGGATATTTTAAAGCAATGTCTCCTGAAAGATAAGAGAGTAATATAAAATAACAGAGAAACTAGAAGACAAAATCTTGGGTTGACTAAAACAGCAGAGCCAACAAACTAATCAGAAACTTACTTTACCATAGGGGGATCACGTGGCTAAGTGGGTAAGATGCTAGCTTGCTAGCCTGGAGGTCGGGTGTTCGATCCCTGCATTGGCCGAGAAAGTTCATCCAGATTTTCCGGCGTGGTTCTCCCTTGTCAGTGATGCAGGACGGAGGGGCTGACAAGGAAAGCTGTCTAGTCGTTCGGATGGGACGAAAAACCAAGGTCCCGTGTACACATTGGCGTGCACGTAAAAGATCCCTTGACAGTTGGAATTCGATATGGCGTATGCCCGTCTTCATTAGCCCAGGTTAGGAGCAGAACAATAGGACGTTAAACTCCATTTCATTTCATTTCATTTCATTTACTTTACCATAGTAAGCACTTCAGGAGTGGAGGGGTTGGGCTGCCTAATTGTTTAACGTGTGCTTGATAAAAATAAGAGGAGACTTGTCAAAACGTTGTGCTTTTAGAATAAACCAGTGATTGATATCCCACATAAAAAAAATGTGTTCCTTAATCGTTAAATGCCACTCAAAGATGAGATCATAAGGTCTACCACTGACTCAAGTGGCATAGTTTCGACTCACCGCTTGTATGTGACAAGGAGTAAAGTCGCCTGTTCTGAAGTTTCTCCAGGTCCTCAAGTTTCATCCCACAGCTAAAGACCTTTATACACAAGCGAATTATTGAAATAAAGTTTAAGTATGTGTTAGTCCCAAAATGACCTAGTTGGTGCTTAATGAGACAGAATCTGTTTTTTCCTGCAAGATCGCAAGACCATTGCCAGCCCAGTTAATACTGTATTACCATTATTTACCTAGATTAGATAATTGTTCAATGGAAGATGCCACGTTTAAACAGTCTTCTACTGTCGGCATTGCAAGTTGCAGAACTTTAAAATTTTTACATTTTAATGTCAGTGTTCCTGTCGAACCACTCAATTTCTTTTCTATACTATCAACTAGACTATGCAGAACCTGAAACATACAATATATTCATTATTAAAACCATTTCAATTCATTGACCCAATCATTTCATTTTCATTCATTTTGTTTAATGTCTCACCTAACCATAAGGGCTGTACTATTTACCAAGTTGTGGGTTTCATATCCTAAATTTGGTCCATATCAAGCCATTGGTTAAGTCTGTACCACTAACAGAGTGCCCTCCCCTGTTGCTTATTGCAAGACATAGCTAACAAAAAATGAAATGAAATGAAATGGGGTTTAACGTTCTACTGTTCTGCTTCTAAACAGGGCTAATGAAGACGGGCATACGCCATACAGTGTGCTATGAGGGAAATTTTGCCCGGGCAGTGTCGCTACGCCCTACTCTTATATCGAATTCCAACTACCAAGGAATCTTTTACGTGCACGCCAATGTGTACACGGGACCTCTGTTTTTCGTCTCATCCGAATGACTAGACAGCTGTCCTTGTCAGGCCCTTCGTCCTGCATCACTGACAAGTGGAAACCACGCCGGAAAATCTGGATGAACTTTCTCGGCCAATGCAGGGATCAATCACCCGACCTCCAGGCTAGCGAGCCAGCGTCTTACCCACTTAGCCACATGATCCCCGAGCTAACAAAAATATATTCTGTTTTGCACTGTAATTCCAAACTATATAATTGAGCTATGCACACAGGACACCAATACTTATAGAAAATTCAACAAAAGTGTGAGTACAAGTACAGTAAATGTGAGCATACATGTAAATGTCCCCCATACATGTATATGGGTGACTAAAATTAACATATTCCAAGAATTCAACACCGACAAGCAATCGCAAACCATGCAATAGAAAATGACCTACATTGTCCATAGTTGATCTTAGGCAAATCCAAATTCTGAATAGGATTCCACACGAAATGAAATTTATCTATTTTTCATTTACATTCAATATTAATTCATTTACTTTGTTTTTGTATACATCTAAGTTGTCCTAAAACATTCATATATGGTTCTATGTCCCATACTCTGTCGCAAACACTGCTACATCATTTCTATGAATGATAGTAAACAATGTCTCGTTCATCCATATTTTTGTAAAATAATTAAATGGTGAACGTGTTAAATTCATTAAATATGTAAGTTTATCTGTCGTGGATCAGCTGATCATGCACAGAAAATGAATCATTAGGAATGTTGACATAAACTGTACCTTTGTTTAATAGTTAAACATGATTCAAACATAATTTACCCATAATTCATCATGTGGTTGATTTCTTGATGAAATTATAAGGTGATGCCCTGTGATACACAGAGTGCCTTCAATTGGTTTCTTAAAATTCTCCTTTAATGTTACGTTATCAACCATAGGAGTTTTTATAAACTCTGCAAACTCCATCTTTTGATTTTATAATGGCACCACCGGATGAGTTTAGCTGAAGAGATATCAAGAAGAAATATTAAATACATAAAATAATTGTTTCACAAACCACAGTTTATAATTTTAAGAGTTATAGATTATGATGGCTGGTTATGAGTATGACTGATGTTGGCAAGAAGAAGGTTAGTAGCTTTTGACTTTCTATATTGGGGGAGACTGACCTATTTGAACCTCAGTCTGATCTTTACAAAGGTGTTTAAAGATGCTTACTTAAGGTTACTTATGGAATGCAATGCCACAGGAATCAGTGCCTTTAATTCTGAGAATCTCTACAGTGGTTGAATTTAACTGATCACAAATCAATGCATAGAGCCATAGCTTTTTGTCATCAAAAACAATTTGCCAACCATTTGCAGTCCCAAATTAGCCTCAGTGAGCAAGTAAAACTGGCCCAATCAAGTAGTACATGTATGGCTAATGTACATCTAAAAGTGCAGCGGTTGATACATTTCGAATTTCAGTGGCAAAAATAGTCTATTTTATCATGCATGGAGTTATTTCCTTCCAGTTCCACTTGAACTAAAAGGTTGCACGCTGGAATTTAGTAAGCATTTTCATTGCAAGTGCGAGATCTCGCCGAAATCGAACATACTCTGCAGACCGGTTTGAGCCGGTATCACGTCATTTGGGACTCACGTCATTTGGGACTCAACATAAACGACATTTGGGACTCAGTTGACGACATTTGGGACTTGATTGGCGTCAATTGGGACTCAACACAAACGACATTTGGGACTATTTATTTATGAGATATACATGTATAGTAACAGCTGTCTTAGTTGTCTTTCGTTTTATTTAGTTGATCGGCGATTGTTGAGACCGCGATTAACACTGCTAGTTCTCCTTTGTTTTGTTTTATCTGCGAGTATAAAACTTCTCCTTTGTTTTGTTTTATCTGCGAGTATAAAACTTGACAATAATATATTGTTGAAAATTTGTGTATATTTAGTAATACTTCGTTGTTTTTCTTTTATCAAATAGTAAATGAGCTTGATTGACCGACTACTGCTCATGTTTTTTCGTGAAACGGTATAACTGCAATCAACACACAGACGCCATTCTCGGTGATTGACAACTCACGTTTTTCCTCATCCACCAAAGAACCGTTAGGTTTCTTTGAACATACTGCAATAACATCGGGATTATCAGTTAATCAGCTTTAATTATCCCGCTTTGATCGTTGCCATTTCTTATATTTTCCACAAAAAAACTTTGCCTTGTAGGCACTAATTTATCGATTGGTATTGCCATCTACGACAAGCATGTCAACGTGCAGCTCACGGATTATCATTAACAATTTCTAGGGGCTTGTAAAAAAGATTGCATGTCGTGTAAATATTTATTTTGTTTTTTTGTGTAGGTCATTTTCAAATAAATTCATCAGCATATTATTAGTTTTAAATAAATATATAACTTTTATGAGAATCGATGATTATCAAAGAACCGTAAGTGCAACTAATGTTTTATTGTTTGGTTGAGCATTTTACTAACCACGTGTTTCATGTTAATAAATATTTTCTTTTGTGTTTTGAATTGGCTTATTTCTAATAAATTATCCCGATACGAGTCCCAAACGTCGTATACCCGAGTCCCAAACGACGTAGGCCTATACCAAAGTCCCAAACGTCATATACCCGAGTCCCAAATGTCGTGGTCATATTTTTTTGAGTCCCAAATGACGCGAGTCCCAAATGACGTGAGTCCCAAATGACATGTAATCTTTGAGCCGACTTCTGTCAAAGAAATTTTTCATAATATTATAATAACATCATGGTTGATAAAATCCATAGCCCTACAAGTTTATGACAATGTCCATTAATTATTGTCATACAACTAGAAGCAGGACAGTTTTTATTTGGTAATCTTATACACTCAAAATCAATCATTCAGTGACACACAGACCAATCAGATACGGTCTACAGCAGTACATCTTCAATAATGATCTTGAATGGCGAGTCTTTACTTCGCCTGGATGTCATTTATGTACCTTTCACTGTATGATTTCCAAATGTTGTTTTTGATAATGACCATAAGCATATATGTAATCCGTATACAAAATAGAATATCTGGCCTTTTTAATTTAAATGAGATATGGTAAAACTACAAGACGCCTAAATATAATAAATAATTTTGGCCATTATCTGCCCACTTCCGGTGTAAATAATTAGGCCCGAGGTAAATGTAGAATTAGTAACTATACAATATAAATATAATACACATATCGCTTAATCAGTTAAACATTCCATATACCAAATTCGGTTTCTTTTAATTTTACTTCCACTTGATCATTTTAAAATGCTACATATTTTCAACATTACGTCATCATTATTTTCTGCGGAGTCATAAATTCCACAATGGACGGCATCCAAGGTAAACAAATTTTTCTCTCTCATAATTTTTATTTGTAAATGATTGAATTGTATATCGACATGTGGACAGTTGTATTTATTATCTTCCTTTTATATTATTTTTAATGTTTCAATCAGTGACACGGATATAGTTTATTTTATTTCAGAAATTTAAGCAAATCGGAACTGTAAAAAATTAATATTTTGACTTCAGACTTGTCTTGAGCCAGTTGAGCTATTTTAATTGAGGTAGAAATAGCAATTAACACTGTCCTATCCTATTTGGCATTAAACAACACAAATCACTACAGCATTAAAGGGGCTTAATCGCTAATATTTAGGACCTAGAAATTGACAGCAAATGGTTCACACCGCATATAATAATGTAATATGAATGTATATAATTTTAACACAGAGATCATTGCTACGGCAGATGTGTAACAAGCACGTGAAGAAACGGGAAGTGACGACAAACATGACAAACACAAGTTATCCTACTATATAACTGAATGAAGTAACAAGCTATAACAGACACGCGATCAAATTTCATTTCACTGATAAGTCAGTTGAAGATGAAAAGTTATTATATGAGACGGTGAGAGGATATCTGACAATTGAAAAAAACAATTGGCTGTCATTAGATAAAAGATAACGAACAAATTAGAAAAAGTCCGTGCATTACTATGTTTTTATTAAGAACAGAATGAATAAAAACAGGGGAATGCACAGGGTTTTTCTATTTTTCTCGTTTTCCCTTATCTAGTGACAGCCAATTCTATTTTTGAATTGTGAGATACTCTCCAACCGTCCTATATAATAACTTTTCAACTTCAACTGAATTATCAGTGAAACGAAATTCGATCGTTTGTCTGTTATTGCTCGTTACTTCAATCAGATATATAGAAGGATAGCTCGTGTTTGTCATGTTTCGCGTCACTTCCCGTTTCTTCACGTGCTTGTTACATATCTCCCGTAGCAATGATCTCTGTGTTAAAATAATATTTGGAATGTATTTAACCAGTTCTATCACATATTTTATAATGACTGACACCAATATTGTCCTTTAAGCCCATCTTTTCCTGGTAAGATCACAATATCAATTTCTGATTTAAATTGACAAATAATTCATTTTTTTTATGTCAAAGACTTTGGATGATATTGAGTTAGACTTGCTACTTTAAATCAACCATTTAATTTTATTTCCTAATGTGTAGGCTATTATGTCTGTTGTCAAATAGCTATTCTTTCAACATTACAAACATGTCTTGTGCAATATTATAACGCATGTGACTATTCGGCAGAGTTTGTCCGGTCATTTTTTTCCAGAGATCGGTACACATGCATTTTCGTCAGATTTGTACGTCTGGTGTGGCACAACATTTCTACCTTGCACGCAGCGACTTTAATCTGTAAGCGTGCTAGTTGTCATGTCTCCCATAATCTGTTGTTGATCCGCCGCAAAAACAGGGGATCTAACTACAGACAACTACAAGCCAACAGCAGGGTTAGCCTAAATGTAGCTCGCTATAGCAATTTGAATTACGAGAAGCAAGATGACAAAAACAGAAGATTAACAGCTAAAGCACTGATTAATCATCATTTGTATTCTTTGGACAATAGGCCCAGATCTAAGACATAAGAATCTTTGCTAAATTAAAATTATTGTCCAGCACTGTAGCCTACTACTGGTATCACATATCAATGAAATGCATTGTACAGCAGATCGCAAATCACACAATAGTTAAAGCATTTTCGAAAAAAATAATTTCTTTCAATATGATGAATATGACCATGTCCGTTCGAATGTGCTGTATTTTATTAGTTTTTAATAACCAGAAAAGTTAATGTTTCGATACTTATATTTAAACACAAATAAAGAATGTTTTGTCAAGTCTCCAATTTGAAATTCAGGTACGTGTGGAAAGCATTGCATAAGCTTTTAGTATGGTAACTTAACTTAAACATACATAACACATACATTATACAAGAGCTAAATTTGCCTATGATTTTTAGGCCTGAAATGTTATATAAACCCTTAATTAGACATTTATTAATATGACAAGACCATATTCAACTCTCAGTGCCATCTGATGCTTCCAATTTTCATTAGATTTGAATCAGATTTTCCGCTCACCAGCCATTGATGATTAACTGCAAAAATGGAGACCAGTAATCAAGACTCTGTTGATTATCGTTGCAATGGTAACAATGACAATCAAGGCTACAATGCTATTATAATGTGTATTTCTCGCTTTAGAGTAAAGTAATTTGACTGAAATTCAGCATATTCCTGTTACATTATATATTATTTAACTATTATGTTATTTAACTGTCAGCTATTTATCTAATAGTTTTTGATGAAGCTACATGTATTGCTGTAATAAAGAAGAAAGACGGTGCTATGGCATTGCAATTCTGAACAGAACAAATTTCAAGGAAAAAAAATGTGATTCAACTAAGCCTGTAATTATTAAAGGGAATAGAAGCATACTGGGTCTATTAATATTATCCAAAGTCACCAACCAATTCTGATTGATACATTTCAAAATAGATTATAAGAGCTCTGCTGTCGAGTCTCGTTGTCCTTTAAGGCTAGTAGTCACTAGTCAGTCATCTATGTTTTATGTTTTGACCTTTTCTGTTGCATGTCTGACTTTTAGTTCAAGTTCAGAGTTGTTTTCTATCAGGAAATAGATTTCTAGCTTAAAGGTCAAAGCTGTTTAATCAGAGTTTATTCTCAAGTTTAATTTGTGGTTTCTTGCAAAGTACATGTAGTACATTTATTTTTAAGCGATATGGTTGAGTCCATTTATAATTTAAGACCAGAAAACATCATACAAGATCATAAACTAGTTATTTAACAATTACAAATTAATTAGAAGTTATAATAAAGACATTACATGTATGGTAATTTCTCTACTGTACTGTTTTGTGCAGGGGCCTACGTATTCGATTTTTGTAAATTCTTTTTTTCCTGCAGTGTTTCGGATCACCATATTTATAAATAGCTGTTTACGTATTTTGTAAAATAGTCCTTCAATTATTCATTAAATAAAACCGCTGATCAGTGTTTGTATTTTTTGAAGAATATCTTATAAGTTCACAACTTAATCCACTCAAAATTTATTAACATTTAATTAAGAAAGCAAATTCAAATATCAACAGTAGATAATCTATCGACTTAAATTCAATCAGATTAAATAGACCCCTCAAAAGATTTTTTGCTATAAAATAGGTGGCTCTGGCTTATATCATAAACTATTTTTGGGCTGATATTCCTTTTAGAAATTCAACTTCCATAGAATCGTAGTTTGCAAATAATGATCAGCGGCTTTAAAGTAACGTGATATTTACAAGCTTCAAGATTTTGATCTTATCTTAAATTACATGTGTAACACTAGAACAAATTTATCATAAAGTGTAACACTGGAACAATTTTATTGAAATGTACTTTTTGTATTTTATTGTTCACTGATTTTTTTTCTGTGTTTGTTCTAGTTGACTGACATCAGACAATTCTTTCTATAGAATGTTTCTCATATGATATGAAACGAACTGACTTGAGAATAACTATAACTTGGGAGCGGAGATTTCAAATCATTAATAGGCTACATTATTTGATTTGTTTATTGGTAGCTAAGCAAATTAAAGACAACACCTTGTATTAAACATTTGATAATTGGTGAGATCAATTGGATTGAAGGTACATGTACATTATTAATTAATAAACGGCAGTGGCCATTTTATGGATACCTGAGAGTTGATCGATAGTTTAAAGAATAGTAAATTTTTAATATTTTATTGAATAGTGATTTTGAAAAACTCCTCATTACACCTGATCGATCACTCTATCTGAACACAATAGCAAACCCATGGTAACTTTTAGATACCAAATTTAAAAAAAAAAAACATTTCAGACTCATCAATACAGTAGCATTATACAGTAGAACTCACATGTCTTTTCAAATTCAAATTTGCTTATTCTGGCTGATTTTAGGGCATTTTTTATTCAATGACTATTAAAACTGAAGGATCGATTGTTTTTTTTTGTTTCCTGTGAAATATTTCCTTAAATCAACGAAGTCATATAATATATATCCCTAAATAAACAAACAGATAAAACAGTATGAATAGTACAAGAATACATGTAGATAGTGAAGTGAATATTACTATTAGAGAATACATGTAATGATTCAGAACTTCTTTCTTGTAGCACGTTCTATAGCTATTACATTTCTTACCTGTACATGTAGGCCTTGTTCATGAAAATTTACAGTCTATATTTTTAAAAAGTTTTCTTAACCATTACATTACACTACAGGATATTAATATCATGTGATTATGATTTTAAAATATCTAGCAACCATTCTGTTGAAAAATGAAAATATTTCCTTATACAATTACGTGTAGTATCCTGTTTTCATGAATGCTGCACATCGTAATTTATACATATTTTTGCTCATTGTATTGACATTTGTGTCGGTTTTAATTTACATTATTATTATTACAAAATTCATATTGCCCACCCATACACCCCCCCCCCCCCCCCGCCCCTTTCACAGGTGTTCAACGGTGCTTTACAATGTTGCAATTAAAAGAATGCAAAAAAAAAAAAAAATATAAATATACATAATATCAGTAATGAAAAGATTCTTAGAAGAGGAAGCTCTTAAAATAAGTTCTTCTTAAAACTATAAATAGTATATTACATGAATTTAAAGTAATAGGTAATTTATTCCATAAAAGAGGTGCTTGAACAGTAAATGAGCATTGTATAAAAGTATAAATTTATCATCAGAAGATTTTAAACTTCTTGATAGATATACATTTCTAAAAGTTCTGGCTGATAAATATACATATGTACTGATGTATAGTGTGTAGAAATTTCTAGTGGACCCATGTGGTCATGTACAACTGCTCTTTGTAATGGTATAACAAAAAAGCACTCCCTTTTAATTTAAAGAGGAGGTCACAGGATTCTTAGGAGACCATAAATAAATGCATTATATAAATAAATGTATTCAAACCAAATGTAAAAATGTGAAGAGCTAGCTAATTTACATTGTCAAATGTACGAAGCTGCACAGGTTTCTGAAGGGGATGGATGGGTGTGTGTGTGAGGGGTTTGGGGGTATGTCAACCTTACAACTGAGAGCAACTGGCGTTTCGGCAAATGGGAGCAGCTGGCTTCAACTGAGTGTAACTGAAAAAGGTCAATGTATTCACAAAAATAATTCTGAGAGTGGCCCTTTCACTTACGTGTACTTTTAAGCTTTTGTTAAAATAGATTTTGAAAGCATGTAATAGCTTATTAACCTGTTTGTCAATAGATCAAATACAGCTTTAGTAATATGACATGTGGGGACATTTAATATAGATTAAAGATTCAATAACAGACTGTGTATAGTTATTAGGTATATTACTATGTTTCATTTATTTTCGTCCATTTTCAACTTCTCCATTTATTATACTATGCTAAAGAGCTTGTAAAAAATTCACTATTGGTGGATCTGCTATTACTGACAGATAGTGTTTGCGGACCACACACAACCACAATTCCAGCGCTATGTTTGAAAGTAAATGCTTTTGGAGCACACAACACACATAAATGATTGCAGCTCTAATTTTGAAAGTAAATGTACATACAGTTTTAGTGCTTGGGGACCACACCATACACAACAAGTATTACAGTTATACGTTTGATAGCATAATTGGGATCCTAGTTATATCTTACTATTGATAGTAAGTGCTTGGGAACGGCACCACATACAACAATAATTACAGCTGTACTTTCGATAACTGTAGGGGGACCACACCACACACAGCAATAAGAAAAATGTGATACTGTTACAAATAAAGTAGTGCACACAGGCCAATTGCTATAATCTTTCAAAACAAACACTAACAATCCTTAGATGGGTTCAACAATTTCTCCATCATTGATACCTAATACATTTTATTTTCATTGACAATAACAAAAATCATTCCATCAAATCAATGTTTATGTAATCAGATCGTCAGATGTAAAAAATGTTACCAATAGAATTATGGATATTCCAGTTCATACTCACCATTGAAGTACAAAAAGTTTATGGCAATTAAAATGTAAGATTTAGATAAAAAGCTGACCATTCTTTCTGTAATAGCTCAAAAATAGATAATGTAAATGAAAATATTGTCACAGTTTGTAGTTTTGACAAGATGTGTGCATAGTGCATAACCAGGGTACAGCTATATTTAAGACTTAAACCCAGTTTACATTACAAATTTTAAGCGTACCAGGTACACGGTACCAGGACTGACTTGCTTTAAATTTTTCGTAGTGTAAACGCTAACCGGTCTGAGCACGGATTACTGCGCATGCGCCAAATGAACATTGACCTTTTTCCCCGCAAACTTTGACAGCTCTGTCATCAGTTCTGTCAAAATGGCTGCTCAAACTAAATCAACCATCATAATTGTTTTCATCTGGGTAATTTGTATAGGGACTGAAATTAACTTTTCTGTGAAGAGTTCCACATTTAGCGTGCTTGACACGGTTCTGAGAGCTGTTATTTTAGAGTAATGTAAACGGGTAAATTTCTTGAAATTTATCTCGGCCTGGTACTGTGCCCAAGTGTAAATGGGGCTTTAGCCTCGCTTTCCCATTTTTAAATTAAATTTTTAAATGGTGAACCGTTCTAATCTAGTTAAAATCTTGATTATCCAATGCCATTGAGAGTTGATTGGGGTCTTGTTTTGTTAATAAATGTCTAATTAATAGTTTGTATAACATTTCAGGCCTAAAGAAAGGCCTGCAATAGGCAGATTTAGCTCTTGCATAATGTATATTTAAATGTATCAGGTAACCTAATATTCACCAGTTTAAAAACTGTTTATGAAACAAAATATTTAGGTTTTACTAGTTTTAGTGTAAAAAGGTAGAGGTTTGATTTATTACTAGGCGTTAACACTATAGTTCACTGTATTATGTGATATCTCCCAATACTCAAGTGTGTTTAAATGCTTCATAATTGTGAAATATTAGGTTTGTATTCACTGGTTGAGTGTAAAGGTCTTCTCTTTGATTTACTGAGGTTTCTTTATATTGTTTACTTGTTGCTAAGGAAATTTGTATTATAAATAATAATATCCTTTTTGCCCTAACCTAGTTATTGTTTATCTATTGTGATGCCAATGCCATGACGATAGTCAATATACCCAATCAAATTTTAATTTATGAATTGATTAAAGTTTTAAAGTCGTGATAGTAAAATATTTTTCTCAAACAATATGCGGGTGTTGAAATTGTTTATATTCTGTAATAGATTTTGAATAAAATAGAGCCTATAGTATGTGACTAGATCTAATCAAAATAAACTCTGAAATATTACATCAGAAATCTCTTCCATTATAAGAGGACATGTTCACAATACTAACATCAAGTGATCTATTTATCTGTCCCTTTATTGTCTTAATATATTTAGACAAGAGTACTCATTTTGCACACATATGTATATGACATTGTCAGATATACTTGTATAATGGTTTCTGTACTACTGTGAAAAGTATTTGTACATAATACACCAAGTAGTGATACATGTACCTTCTTTAGGAATACTATTATACAGTAAACACACTAAACTCTTACTTAGTGTCAACAAACAGCTTCACACTGTATTTATTTAGTAGTACTATTTATGGGCTTTAGAAATATCAACATTGGTCTGATTTAAAACCAAAGCAAAGGATTAAGAATAAATCTGTCTTATTAAAATTATACCAATGTCTCGTTCTGTTCTATTTTTCAATCATTTATATCACTTCGTCCTGAGGGGGGTTGGATGGCCGAATGGTTAGCACATGCACACTGTAACATAAGGCCTGTCATTGAGTCAACTGGCGTGGTTTCGAATCCTTGGTTGTACGTGACAAGGAGTGGGGTTGCCTGTCGAACCTCGTGGGTTTTCTCTGGGTCCTCCGGTTTCCTTCCACTGCTAAAGACCCCTATGCGCAAGCGAATTATTGAAATAAAGTTAAACCATGGGTTAGTCCCAAAATGACCTAGTCTGTGTCGAGTGGACATTAAACCCCATTTCTCTCTCTCACTTCGTCCTGATCTTAAGACATTATTTAAAAAAGAGAGTGAGAGAGAAAAGGGGTTTAAGGTTCACTCAACACATTTCCGGACTACGAATTTTATTTCAATAATTCGCTTGCCGTAGGGGTCTTAAGCTGTGGGAGGCAACCACAGAACCTGTATAAAATCAATGAGGTTGGACAGGCGAGGGGTGGTGGATGGCTGAATGGTTAGTGTGTGCGTGCTGTAGCATAAGGTCTGTCATTCCCTTGTACGTGACAAGGAGTAGGGACGCCTGTTCAATGTCATGAGTTTTCTCCGGGTCCTCCAGTTTCCTCCCACTGCTAAAGACCCCTATGCGTTAGCGAATTATTGAAATAAAATTGAACCATATGTTAAGTTAGTCCTGAAATGATCTCTCTCTCTCTCTCTCTCTCAAAAGAAAATTAATGTTGTTTAACATATTTTTTTTTCTTCAGAATATGACGAGGCAGGTCCTGATGAAAGAAGTCCATGTCCAATTTGTGGACGAATGTTTAATCCAAGACCATTGGTAAGTAGTTCTTTCTTCATTAGTCTAGTTTATGCAGAAATGTAGAATGTTAAACCATACCCACTTTCGTTTCATTTTTGCTATTAGGATTTACAAGGAAAGTGCATGTATGTATGTTTGTTCGCATGAGAAATAAACAAACATTTTATTAGTTGAGTCACTCCATTGACAGTTACAATTAGAAGTGCGTCATTTACTAAAATCATAAATTCATAGTAAAATGTAACAACAACTAAAATCATTTTTGCTTCCAATTCCAGCAAATTCATAAAAAGTCATGTGTAAAAAGTGCAAACAAACCAAGAAAGGTTTTTGATTCGACCAAACAAAGAGCTATGGGAACTGATATTCCATTGAAACAGATGAAGGCTGCCCAGAAGAAGGTATAGTACTGGCTGTTTTATAGTTAAAGGAGTTTTAATACCTCTTTGATTGAGGTTAAATTGATTTATGAGTTTTCCAATATTAATGGGGCAAGATCATTACTATTAAATTTTTATACGCCCACATTTTCATGTGGACGTATTATGCCGTCGCCCCTGTCCGTCCGGACGTCCGTCCGTCCGTCCACAATTGTTTGTGGACTCTCTACAGGTCACAATTCTTATCCGATTTTGTTGAAACTTGAAATGTAAGTTTATAACCCAAAGATCTCGGTTCCTTTCGATATTCGTGCATATCGGACCGTAACTTCCTGAATTATGACCCCTGATTGTACGAAAAATCACGTTTTTAGCTTGTGGACCCTATAGAAGTCATAATTTTTATCCGATTTAAAAAAACGTTTTATTATATCACAGTTACACCCTAAGGATGACTGAGTTCGAATTTCGTGAAAATCGGCCCAAAATTGACAGACAAAATGGCCGCCATTCGTTCCCAAATAGCGTAAGAATATGGTATATCAAGGTTGTGGACCCTATAGGGGTCACAATTTTGATCCGATTTTGTTGAAACTTGAAATGTAAGTTTATAACCCAAAGATCTCGGTTCCTTTCGATATTCGTGCATATCGGACCGTAACTTCCTGAATTATGACCCCTGATTGTACGAAAAATCACGTTTTTAGCTTGTGGACCCTATAGAAGTCATAATTTTTACCCTATTTAAAAACGTATTATTATATCACCGTTACACCCTAGGGACGACTGAATTCAAATTTCGTGAAAATCGGCCCAAAATTGACAGACAAAATGGCCGCCGTTCGTTCTCAAATAGCGTAAGAAAATTGTATATCAATGTTGTGGACCCTATAGAGGTCACAATTTTTATCCGATTTTGTTGAAACTTGAAATGTAAGTCTATAACCCAAAGATCTCGGTTCCTTTCGATATTCGCGCATATCGGACCGTAATTTCCTGAATTATGGCCCCTGATTGTACGAAAAATCACGTTTTTAGCATGTGGACCCTATAGAGGTCATAATTTTTATCCGCTTTAAAAAAACGTATTATTATATCACCGTTACACCCTAAGGACGACTGAGTTTGAATTTCATGAAAATCGGCCCAAAATTGACAGACAAAATGGCCGCCGTTCATTCTCAAATAGCGTAAAAATATGGTATATCAAGGTTGTGGACCCTATAGAGGTCACAATTTTTATCCAATTTTGTTGAAACTTGAAATATAAGTTTATAACCCAAAGATCTCGGTTCCTTTCAATATTTGCCCATATCGGACCGTAACTTCCTGAATTATGGCCCCTGATTGTACGAAAAATCATGTTTTTAGCTTGTGGACCCATTAGAGGTCATAATTTTTATCCGATTTAAAAAAACGTATTATTATATTACCGTTCCACCCTGAGGACAGTTGAGTTTGAATTTTGTGAAAATCGCCCCAAAATTGACAGACAAAATGGCCGCCGTTCGTTCTCAAATAGCGTAAAAATATGGTATATCAAGGTTGTGGACCCTATAGAGGTCACAATTTTTATCCGATTTTGTTGAAACTTGAAATGTAAGTTTATAACACAAAGATCTCAGTTCCTTTCGATATATGCGCATATTGAATTGTAATTTCCTGAATTATGGCCCTTGATTGTAGGAAAAATCACTTTCTTGTTAGCTTGTTCTCTATCCATCTCTCGAAAATGTGGGCGTATCCTGCCTGGCAGCCGCTGGTTGTTTAGAAAGATTAAGCTGAGTAGCATTTTTGAATCTCTCGTTACAAACATCGTAACCATTGTTTTCGATCATATGGATACAATAATTTAAAACAACATGAAATGTCTAAGGACCTTTGTTTGCTGTTCACGCATAATTTTCCACTTTTCGTAAGTTTTGTGACATTGCGAAAGTGTTTGATTTAGTCTTTTTTTCCACATATTGTTATTTTTTTCTTTCTTTATGAGTTATCCCCATGTTGATTTCTTTTGTTGTGTGTTGTGTTTTTTTTCTTTTTATATGGGTATTGTCGTCTACACGTCTGTTATCAAAGGTTGTCACAAATATGCATGGATAAACATATCAATAACTCAGTGAATCTTCCTGCAACGCCTTCAAATATTGGATTTGTTTCAAACTTCCGGACAAGTTTTTTAAAAAGGCCACTTTGCAAATATACACCGATGGTATAGAGATTCTGTTCATTCAGGGGGGGTTGGATGGCTGAATGGTTAGCGTGCGCGCGCTGTATCATAAAGTCTGTCATTGAGTCGACTGGCGTGGTTTCGAATCCCCGGTTGTACGTGGCAAGGAGTAGGGTCGCCTGTCCAACCTCGTGGGTTTTCTCCGGGTCCTCGGGTTTCCTCTCACTGCTAAAGACCCCTACGCGCAAGCGAATTATGTAATTAAAATTAAACCATATGTTAGTCCCGAAATGACCTAGTTTGTGTCGAGTGGACGTTAAACCCCATTTTTCTCTCTCTCTGTTCATTCAGCTAAGCCATTAGATGGAAATCACTGTTCATGATAACAGTATAACTCCTGAGCTAGTGTCATATATACACCCAAAAGTCTTAGAAGGGTTATATTACAGTTCCCATTTAAGTCTATTTCATAAATGTTTGAGCAGTAAGGGTTTGAAAATTAATTACAATTTTTGTTTAAGCTGTCTGTTTGACGGAGCTGGTGGTAGTGTTTGTTGAGTTGCCTGGTAAACCATGTTTTAATCTTTTTATTTCAGGTTGTGCCCCCACCTAAAAGTAACTGGAGAGCTCAGCATGAAGACTTTATCAACACAGTAAAATCTGCTAGAGGTGTTACAGTAGCCATGAAGACAGGTCAAGCCTTGCCCCCACCTCCTCCACCATCTATCAATCCGGGTAAACAGCACTGTATAGATCATTCTCAAAGTCATTTTAGAATCAGTCAACCAAATTCTTCAGTCATTATAATCATACCTCACAAGCTCTAAGCCTTGGTGTCCCAGTAGTTTTCATTGGCCGAGAAAGTTCATCCAGATATTCTGGCGTGGTTCCATCCCCAACCCTCCCCCACCCCTTGTCAGTGATACAGGACGAAGGGCCTGACAAGGACAGCTGTCTAGTTGTTCGGATGGAATGAAAAACCGAGGTCCTGTGAACACATTGGCATGCATGTAAAAAATCACTTGACAGTTGGAATTCGATATACGGGTAGGGTAGGCTGTAGTGCCGTTGTGTGGGCAAAATTTCCCTCATAGCAATCTGTATGGCGTATGCCCGTCTTCATTAACCCAGTTCGGAGCAGAACAGTAGAACGTTAAACCCCATTTCATTTCATTTCATTTCCGAGTAGTTTAACACATTCACTTTAGATCAGAAAGTCTGTGATTGAGCCGTTAGTTAACCCAGGATGTATGCAAGTACCATCGTTGAAATATTGCTAAACCAGTAATTTTTAGTGTGTTACTCTTCAGTTTCTTAACGCCGCTCAAAGAAGTTGCATTTAATTCACTGGGAGTTTCAAAGTGAAATCTTAAACCACTCAAAATTTTTCTTTTGGGATTGATTAAAATGCTATTATACAATACATTAAACAATTCCTGACTGGTAACAAAGTGTAGAGAAATATATAGAATAAAGTAAATCATGACACCATGAAGAATCATCCTCATTAAATATGTTGTCAAGTCTGAATCTTACATCTTATTTTTTGATGGCTGGCTTTTCTTCTTGTTTTCAGATTATGTGGCATGTCCATATTGTGAACGTAGATTTAATCAGAAGGCAGCTGAACGCCATATTGATTTCTGTAAAGAACAACATGCTAGGAAGGGAAACAAACCAAACGCAATCGCCAAGAAACCACCATCAAGGGTAAGTTTTCATTAGATGTGATAAGAATTGAATTTAACGTTTTATAGACACATAGTTTGGTAAGTTTTAGACTAACATGGATTTTTTTTTCTATGGTAATGTGTGCAGTGCTGATGAGGAGCATTATGCCTGGACAGAGGCTTTATACCTACTGTTCATCAAATTCCAAATGTCATGGGTTCTTTTATGTGCACTCCAACACTCCAAGGCATATCTCATTTATCATCCAATCCAAAAGACTAGTCAAACATTTCCTAATTTATGCCCCATGCACTACCCCTGACTAGTGGGAACTATTCTTGAAAAAATCCCATTATTCTGCTTGGTCCCCACTGGATTTGAACCTGAGACATTCTATGCAAGAGTCTACTGCCGTAACTATACCAGGATTTTATTTAGAATTCCATTTTAGATTCTTCATGAATTTCCAAATAAACTCATGAAAAATCTTTGAATGTCCTAATCGAAGTGTCTGGGTTGTCTCCCTTAGCCTGAATGAAACTTGAGAGTTGGCAATTCTTTAACAAAATACAAAAAGAAATGGTTTCAGGGGTGAATAAAGGCTGTATTGTATAGCATTAAATTACTGTGTGCATAATAATAATGCTAATAGAATTTTAAAAGTCTTTATATTTCTTTAGCAGCACAAACTTTATTCTCTCAAGCAGAGTTATCCTCCCTTTTACAGTCCACACTAATCTCTTTTGTGGAACTTATGCTAGATATGGGGTTTTAGTGTGAAGTGCACAAGTCATCATTCTAATTTTAACAATGAGTTTGTATTTTTAATCATTATCATCACATAGATTGATACTTTCTGATCATGTGTTAAAGGTCATATGACTATTTTTTATGACTCTATGTTTTTTAACCTTGAAATAGACGAAAATGGTTCTAAAAGCACATATTAATGTAATATGAATGCATGTAAAGTGATTTATGTTTATTTTTTAAATTATTATTTTGTCGTTTGTGAATCAGCCTTTACTAATTACTTTCACATTGGGTTGTAGGATATATTTTTATTTGTTCATTACAAAATGGCACCCTATACCATAGGGTACACGACTCGTGTACTGATTATGAAATGTTAATTGTGTATTAAATATTGTATATTAGGATCCTATAGTTTAACGGCAAGATAACAACTTCTATATTGATTGAAATTGATCAATATTGAAGACTAATTCATGTTTTTAATTTCGAATATTATGAAAAATATTGAGTTAGAGGTTTAGCTCTCCTATAAGACATAAATCTGAATCAAGAAAGCAGAAATTATGTTGAAGTAAATTAGTAATATTTCAAATGTTCCTTGAATGTAGTTCATTTTCATTTTAATGGTAGCATTTTAAAATCCGGTTTCAAGCCATGTTTAAAACATGGACAGATTGTGCCCACAGCTGTGTCTTGATGTTTTCAAATTTGGTCAGAAAGATGTTTTGTCTTATTTAATATATCAATATTTTTGTTTGGTTTATCTCTTCAACAGATACAGCCACCAAAGGCAGCGCCTGCTAGAACATCACCATCAGGACCTGCACCAGCAGCTAGTAGAATTCCTGCAAATCGTGCTGCACCCGCATCTAATAGAACTCCTGTAGCCTCAACAACGACAAGGACCCCTGCTGCTAGAAATGGTATTTTTCTTCCTTAATCTTGGCTTTCCAGGAAATAAAATGGAACTAGATCATTTTGCTGTTTTTCTCAGGGAATTGATGGGCTCATTTCCTGAAATACAAGCATATTCTGGGGAAAATGTTTTCAGCAATCAAGTCAATATCAAAGCACTTGTATTAATGCTGTCCTGGGGAAAGTTTCTGTTCACATGAATTTGGTTCTGTTTGACAGTCAACACAAGAGAAGTTAATATTGTGATAGTAGTTTAGATGAATAGATAAAAAATTGTAGATTAAAATAAAGTCATATCCTTGATGCTCATGTACTTGATCATTAGTGGATCAAATGATGTCATGTTTAATAGCTTTTCAATCACATTAAGATGGCTACATGAAAACATACTAATGTAAGCTGTACATGGCCACAAACTCTCCATTGTTACAGTAGAACTTCCAACACTACCACACATGAATTTGAACTTTTAGCTCACTATGTGATAATGTCTGATGTATACATGTGCATAGCTTATCACAGATCGTATTTTGCTAGTTGTGAGAAGCTTTTAATAGATTTAGTCAGAGAGACAAGCTATCATCAAAAATTGTGAATATTCATATCATGCACCCCTCATTTTAATAAGATAAGCTTCTCTGTTGACTCGGCTTACACTTAGCAATAGAAGCAGATCGGCTATTTATTCTTAATTATGTACCTTTAACATGACTATAATATATTGTTGCTGAATTATAAATCTTTCTTGTATATTTTTCTATATATTTATATTTTTACAGGTGCACCTGCTGCCCGAGGAAGAACTGTTCCAAGTTATTCAGTATGTATATTATTATTAATATAAATAATAACATCTTTTGTAAAGACTATAAGTTTATCTTAGCAGCCCCATAGAATGGAAACTTTTGAGTTATTTGTTTCCGAGTTTCAAAATCAAATCTGAATCAAATGCCACATTTTCAAAAAATTCATTTATAAGTTATGAAATAGCATGGATTTTTAAAATGCCAATAAAAGCAAATCTGAAATTTGTATTCTTTCTTTGAAAGAAGTATAAAAATTCATCTTTTGCTGTCAGAATTACGAAAAATAGAAGTGCACTTTTTATCAATCAAAAGTTCCCATTATCAGGGACAAACTATAATCAAAGCTCTAAGACAAACAATTCTATTTAAATCAGGTAATAAATGTAAAATGGTAGTCCACTTTTAGCTTAATTCACGCTTAGTCTGATTAAAATTAGATGTCATATTTCATTTTGTTTATTTTTCCTCCTGTAACACATTTTCTTTGAAGCCAGTGTTCAGATCACTTAAACGAATTGACACATTGTATACAGGGCATTCTAATTTTTTTCTTGTTTCCTTACTCTGCTTTACCTTTGTCAAAAGAAATTTCATGTGCATGGTTAATAATGCAATGATTGTGATTGGTTGACTCCAGATCAACCTACCAATCAAAACTGGTGATACAGAACACTCTGCAAAGGTTTTGATTGACAAGAAATTTTATTGACCATCTAGCTAATCAAGATCAAAGGTTCAGAATGAGCTTTTCTTAAACATGACTTTAGATTTTAATACAGTGAGCCTCCAAATAAATAAATGAAACTTATAACATATCTAGATTGTATACAGGGCTAGATATTTTTAAGGTAAACTAGGGGAATTTTAAAAAAAACAAAACAAACAAAGTTGTTGACTAATCTAATTTTATTAAGATACAATTCATGCTTAATTCATTAAAAGGTATATTGGCTTTTAGATTAATAAGTATATTTGTATTTAAAATGTTATATGGTGTCAAGTAAATACATTAGTGTTAACTTTCTCTACATCTGATGCCATACGTTAAGAACTAAATATTTTATTGTTGAATTTACTCCCAATCGCTATAATGTTGGCTAGTAGCCAGTTACTCCTCTTTTCAATTATTTTGTGATTTCTGGTTTTGTCATGTATCTTGACAATATATCTTTTAAACTCTGCGACATTTCTTCCATTGTTTGAAAAATTGATATTTTGGTGACATAGTCACATGATCAAAGAAAATTCTCCTTTGGATTTGGAGGTAGTCTCTCTAGTTTGAGTATGTATTAATAGCAGCATTATTTCGCTAACAAAGAATTTTTCAACATATTAGACTGGCATGGCATCTTCATTATATTTGAACAAAATGACACAAACTTTATACAAAATATATTCTAAAAGGCAATATACCTCCAATTTTTAAGGTGCTGTACATTTTAATTAATTTTCTTTTTTATTTGTTTCGTAATTAGAATAATTCTCTGTCACATTCATTTTCTGTTTTATCATTTTTTTTTGTGTGTGTGTTGCTTTATTTTATATATCTATTATACACCCTTTCTGCACCTCTAGGCTTCTGACTATACTGACTACAGTTCAAACAATGGAAACAACATCATGTCACCCACTACTGGCAAGTCCTTACGTACAGGGCATAGCCCTCAATTAGATGATGAAAATAATTCTGCTAAGTTGAAGAAAATGAGTTACAATCGAACCTCACCCCTTTTACCACAAAGGTATTCATTATTTTTTGCATGCCTTTTTTATTTGAAGGAGTGGGTTATTCAATACGTACAGTACAGCAGATCTTCTTAATTAAACTTAATATTAGCCAGTAAACCTACTGTTGCCATGTGATTAGTGGCAATCATAACATCTATTTGATGTAATCTGGATGGTTACCGTGCAGCTCATTTCTTGCACTTCCCAAACCTGATCAGAAGGAATATTTAAGAGAAATAAAAATGTTAATTCAAATAGATAGATGATCCATACTTGTTTAAGAGTTAACTTGGGAGTTTATTTTTTATCAATGTGTATTGTAAGGAATGTCTTCAAAAAATGTGGCAGCCAGATAAAGTATGATGCAGGGTTTCTTAATAAGTTTATTAGTAACAGAGAGAATTAACCAAAATTACTGTAATCTCAAAAATCTAACTTAAACACTGCTCTCTACATGTTTTTTTTTTCTGCATTATCATTTTGTTGAGATTTGTAGTAAATTCCTTTAAAAAATATAGATGGAACTACTGTAGAAATTGTTTTATCAAAGTTGCCTCAAAGAAAAGGTAACACAGTCTTTCTGACCATTTAAACATACATTATGCAAGAGCAAAATCTGATTATTGCAAGTCTTAATTTAGGCTTCAGATGTTATAGAAATTGTAAATTAGATCTTTATTTAAACAACAAGCCCAAAATCAACTCTGTAGACCCACGGATGGCTCGGCTACAGCTCAGATTTAAATAGGATTTCACTTAAATTGATTAATCCAAATATGGCGCACCCTGATGAGAATACGTCCGTTAGATCGATGCTAAATGATAGAGTGTACTTAGCGAGGCCGCTGTAGAGTGTTTCCGCATGCCATTGAAAACTTTACTTGATAATCGAGATATGTAGGTGGAGTTAACGCCTGTCAATCAAACGATCAGCCATTAAAGGTCTCTTGATAGTGTCAAAATGTCCTAAGCACTGAAAAGATTTTGGCCAATGTTTAAATGTTACTGTTCAACAGTTTACAGTCTAAGTCAAAAAACAAAAATAATGCAAGAAAACAATCCGAATATACCTAAACTAAAATTAGAAAACAAACCGACATGAGCTTAATATATCTAAACTAAAATTAGAAAACAAACCAACTTCAGCTGAAATTATAAAACGAACGACTTCATTTTAATATATTTAAACTAGAATTAGAAAACAGACGGACTTCAGCTTAATGAGGATATATCAGAACTAAAATTAGAAAACAAACTGACTTCATCTTAATAATAATATATCAAAACTAAAATTAGAAAACAAACTGACTTTAGCTTAATAATAATATCAAAACTAAAATTAGAAAACAAACTGACTTTAGCTTAATAATAATATCAAAACTAAAATTAGAAAAACTGACTTGAGCTTACTATAAGAAAACTACCATTTGAAAACAAACCGACTTCCTCTTGATATATCAAGACTGAAATTAGAAAACAAACAGCTTCATCTTATCAAAGCTGACTTCAGCTTAATATATCAAAACTAAAATTAGAAAACAAACCGACTTCAGCTTAATGTATAGGAGCTAAAACTAGTAATCAAACTGACTTCCATCTAATTTCTTTTAAACGAAAAATGTAACCATATAAGACCATCACTAACTGCAATAACATACCAGATCAGCCAAATTCTGTATATATTTTTGACCTAAATTAAAGAGGTTTATCCCTTCTAAAACTTGTAATTTTATGATAATTATCACTTCCAGAAGTTAATCTCAGTTGTCATTTTGACTCGGCTTGACTAATGCCAAAATTTCTGCATTTTCTGTGCAGAAAAAAAATATTTAAATTGAACAAATAGAAATAAAATGCTTTCTTTCAAAATTTCTGTTTACTATCTTTATTTATAAAATCACCACTTCTCATTCTACTGCATGTTGTTTCATTTTCTTAACTTCTATTCTAAACTAGAAAAATATTTGAAAATAATTAATTTTAAAAGATGTTTAGTTAAATCTTTTTTTTTCTTTTTAACTTGCTAACATAGAAAAAAACAACAACCACTGTAAGTATTAATAGAATATAACTACTAGAATTTAAACCTATAAATCCCTCTATCATAAACCATGGTCAAGTGTTTATATTTAATCAGATACAGCTAATTTACAATGATAGAATCAAGGATGAGGATGTTATGTACACTTGAAAATGTAAACAGGACAAATTTCAACCCCTACATAATTTGCATGTACCAGCGTAGAAGATTTTAAGCTTTTATAGTATTGTGAAATTAGTTGGAATGATATTTTAATGAGAAATTTATGTGTTTATGAATAGAATGGATTGTGTCTCATCAATGTTTATTTATAATATACTCAATTATCCATGCATTTGTGCATGCTGAGCTGAAAGCACTACATTTAGGGTGTCTCTCATCAATTAAAAGTCACATCAAACAAGGTATTTCTAGTCTGGATAAGAGAGTTTAAATAAGAGAGTTTACTGGCAACTATTTACTTGGAGCAAGATCATTTTGACATTGATAAACTAATGACAAAACTTTACACTAAACATGATTCTGCAGTCATTTTTTTTAGACAAACATATAGTCATTTTTATCTCCATGGCTTCACAAGGTTGGAGAATTTTCCAACTAATCTTTATTAAAATCGGTCAGTGTATACATGGATTGAGGTCAGTTTTGATACAAAAGATTCTACTCCTGATATCATTTTATATTTCATGGTCATAAAAAGCATCCAATTTTTTCTTAGACAAATAAAGGTCTTATATCCATTAAATATGAATGCCTCGTTCTAAATATCAGATTTAGTATAGCATGCTTAATACACATTATCAAATATATATCCTTATAACAACATTATATTTGAACTGAAAATTACAGTTCTGGCATTTATTTACGTATGTATCTATTGAAGCAGGCAGGGTATGCATTTTTTTGTGGACAATATCTGATATGAGTGAATTTTTTCACAAATAGAAGAATCAATCATGACCATGGAGAATCCATTTTTGAGAGGATTTATTTGTAAAATAGTGTGAAATGACTCCGCCCTGATTATTTTCTGGTCTTGTCTAGTCTTAATTGTGCCAGTAGAGCTAGTTTCCTGTGCATGTACCTAGTGCAGAAGTGTACATAGTCTTATTTGCATGATCTGGTATTTTGATTTGATTTTATGACTGCAGATTGAAGAAAATATTTTCTTACTCTTAGCTGTAGAATTAAGTGAGAATGTTTTTAGAGTAATTTCAGCTTGTGGATCTGTTTAAGATCAGTAAATTAAGAGTTAAAGGTCAAATTTAAGAGCTACCCAGAACTTGTATTATATTAATGAGTCTGTGTTTAGTTTGAATATGATTATTTTTCATGTTAAAATTCAGAATTAGATTTAAGAAGAAGTTCCTTTAGCAACTAATTCCTGATTGTCTCCTCCCTGTTCATCAATTAAACTTAGATGTGTTTTTATTACTTTCAGGGGCGGCGTTAAAGGGAGCATGACTAGAAACCCATCAGGTTCAGCACTTAGTAGCACTAAAAGAGATGCAGATTTTGGTTACTATAGCAACAATTCTGAATGTGATTCTCCTTTCAATAAAGCCCCTTCCAGTTCCAGAATAAGTATGGCTGCTAAAACTACTCCCAGAGTGTCATCTGCTAAAAGAAATGGACATATGTCAACACTGGACAGAAAGTCAGCACCAGAATCTTCTCCGTCAAGATTTTGTCATGATTGCGGAACACAATATCCCATTTCAACGGCTAAATTTTGCTGTGAATGTGGCATGCGAAGAATGATGATATCGTCGTAATTTTTATGCTCATATTATAGAAAATATATATTACTGCCTTTTTCTTCTAATGAACTGTCATGTTTAGATAATTAAAGAAGAACATTTCCTAATATTATGCCGCATTGCCTCGATTGTAATTTATTTTAAAGAGACACCAAAACATTGATCAAAAATGCTCTTAAAATACTAGACCTCTTTGATTTGGGTCAAAACTACATTTTGATTTGTGTAAGAAATTTGTCATTTTCATTTGATTTTATATGTTGATTTACGTCCATATGTGAAATCAGTGTTGTGATATAACTGATTTGTTTTGCACTCTTTTAAACCCAAAATTAAAATGGAAATTAGTAAACAAGCCCAGTTGACTTAATCAATCGTAGCAAAATTTCATTTACATAGAACTAGGTCCATCACTAATTGAAATAACACATGAGGTCACTCCAATGCATGATCAGTACATTGTTTTGTTCTGATATAAATCAAAGAGCTTTTTAACTCCCTTGATTATTGTTGGAAAAATCTTTAATTGTTTCTAGGTGAATGATTATAGTTCAATTTCCTTTTTTTTTTTTTCCGTAATATTTGCTCATCTTTATCAGAAAAAATTCAGACTTTTTAAAACTTGGAAAACTTTTTTGGGTTTTAAAAGAGGATCTGACCACCTATTTTAGAAATGCGAAGAATGGCAGAATTGTCATTAATTGAATTAAGAGGATTTTATCTAGTCAATTGAGAACTTGTGATTTATCATATATATACTGTCTCAATTTAATATAATATCAATTTATGGAAAGTTTAATTTTATGGATTGCTATCTCTGCCAAAATATATTACATTTGTATACATCTTTAAAATATTTTGTAGAATATATATTATACCATAAAACTAAATCTCACATAAAGAATTGTAATAAATTTTTTTTTGAAACATAACAAGGATACTTGATTAAATATTCTAGGATTCAATTCTCTCAATCCCATAAATAATGATAGTTAAGTAGAAATGAAAGAAAAACATGACATATCATTGCCAAATCATTAACAAAATATCTCCACCAGTTACCACAACTGAAACAGTGCACTCTGTTGGATTATGTTAAGATGCAATTCCAAATGACAGAAAACAACAATCGAGTATCCCCAAGGTCTTGGATGTTAAATATAATTACATGTATATAGCAAGGATTAGATGATAGTATCCGTTATTCAGCATAGCCTAAAATTATTTGCATTTTATTTTAATTTGTTACTGGAAGGGGAAATGTGAATTTTATTATTGTTATTTGATTAGATTATTTGGTTAATTATAAAATTGATGCCAAATTGTATATAAGAATAAACGATATATGAATTAGTTATGTGCTGTGCATAATATATATATATTTTTTATTATTCATAAAGTTTATGAAATATTTGCATGAAATACATATGCATGATGAATTTAGTTTGATTGATTTCCATATAATGAATATTCATATCATTTGGGGGTTTGGTAACTTATGTTTATGTGATACTAGATTTGTATTACATTTGAGTTAACCCTTTAGCATTTTCCCCAGCTAGCACCTAAAACTGCCTGAATACTAGTATTTTGACAGAGGTGGTTTAAGGTGGTGCAGGAAGTCGGGGTTTCGGAATGTTGAATGGATAGTTATAAAGCACTAGGTAAAAAAAACATCACTTTTCTCCAAAAATTTCCAGGGAACAGGGGTAGTCAATTTACCAAGTGCTAAATGTTTAAATATTCAAATGTATATCTGTGTGATATTCACACTTCCGGGGGAATAATTAAATTTCTTATTTGAATCAAGTTCAAATCTTCTGTTTCCCATCAAACTCCTCTGTGGTGCAATCACTGACACATGTAAAATTATTTAGGTAGGAATTTAAAACTTTTCTCATTTTGTGTGAATTAAATTTCAAAACAGTCTATGTAAAATATTAATTAATAATTTCTAAGTAAGATTAGGGCAGATTAATTATTTATAAAATTGCAAAATGTGAACGTTCACTGTTAAGTTTTGCCTTTCACAGAGTCTGCAATTTATGCACAATATGACAGACATGACATGTTCAATTTAGGTGAACCCCCATCATTATTTGCAATAATATTGCATTGAAAAGGTCATCATTGCAGGGAGATTTTGTTTCTTACTGTCATAAAAAGCTTTCAGAAGATTTAGACTAATTTTGATTTTTCCTGTACGTTTTTATTACCCATTTTCTTCTGATCTATTTTGCATATCATCTATACCAATTAACAGGACCAATGATTTTGTCTCATTTTACCCAAAGTTTTTTGTTTTTTTATTTTGATATTTATACATAGATGATTTATTTATTATTTTTTATGATTAACCATTCAATTTTATGTTGATTTAATCCAAGAGTTAATTAAAAGATATATTCCTCGAAAATCTGAGGTTCTAATTATAAGACAATGTATTGGAGAATTTAAACTAATAACTACTTAAGTGGCTCATGTAGGGAGAATTATTTTCTATTATAAATCTAAATATACCATCATTATGAATAACATTTCACTATACCTGTCATCAATAGCATACCTTTGCAAATGTTAATTACTGTTTGTGATCTTTGAATCCAGTGACTGGGATCCATTATAAATTTAACTGGTTGGGATACCTTCATTATAATTTCTAGAAATCTTATTCTCATTGAAGTGTATGTTTTAGGGCAGTATGTGTTTTCAGTGGGAGCAATAACATGACTTAATAATCTTTGAAGGAATATATCTTTAACAAGTTGATGCATCTTGTTATTGTGACATATTTATTTGTATTAAATTAAAACACATTTCATCTTCTTTTTCTTGCTTGGTAGAAAATGGATTAATATCATTTAGAAGAGTCTAAATGTGTTTCTTGAAAATGGAAAGGTGTAGTCTAAATTTTAGACTACACCTTTCCATTTTCAAGAAACATATTTCCAAGAAATATCTTAAAACGGAATACTACTGGCTGATTTCCTAGCAAGTTTTATTGTGAATCGGAGCAGATTTAGCAATGAAAATATTGCACATAAACTGTGGAAAATTGCATGTTCCTTACAGCTTTTTTTAGATGATTTTAAAATTTGCGTCCTAGCAAAAAGTTGATTTAAGATTCTTCTCGGAACTAAACAACCTTATTCACATAAACTAAAACAAAAGTAAATGTTTGTTATTAAATTGGTCACTCATTCATCTGTTATGACCACTGGAATAGATCACAAATGGGGACACTCCCGTAAATAGGGAAGGGGGATCGTGGAAATGAATGTGGGTTGTTGGATTAATGGTGCATGTATAATGATGCTATTCATTGCTATGCATTTGTAAAATAACATACTGCTAAGTATTATCTTATTATTGCTGTTGCTGTAATAACCATAAACTGTTGGACTTGCCAAACTAGAAGTTGTTCACCTCACCTGCACAACAAAAATGTTTAAAATAAGAACAAATTTTAACTTTTTAATTACCTATTGCCTGATGAGAAAATTTTGTGAATCTGTGTATGGTATCTTTTTGTTATGTTAATGTTGTAGGGTAGAATAAGGCATCCTGATCATTTTCAATTGAATGACTGCAGACAGGTATGCAAATATGTGTGCTCAAAACATTATTGGTTCCTTGTTAGATATAGGAACTCAAAGCCAATAAACTACTATCAAACTCTGAAGGAGAAAATAATGCACAACACTGATTAGCCCTGTAACATGTCTCTTAGAAATTAAAATTGATTCTTTTTTATTTAAATTAAATTTTATTGACCAGAAACTGAATATTGATGTAATAAAATCTATTTTGTACTCTTGCGTGACCTGAAATGATTTTAAGTTTTCTGCACTCTTTTTAATTATCTGGTGAATATCTTAGAATATTTCGGGCTTTTATTTTCCGTTTATCCGTCCTTATAAAATTATGTCTGCTGTCTTTATATTATTTGATATGTAACAATGTCTGCTGTCTTTATATTATTTGGTATGTAACCGGCTCTTCTTCTGTGATACTAAGACTATATTATAATGGTGGTTATGTTCATTATGTCATTATCTTATTTATATTCTAATAAAATTATTTATTCTAGTTGGGAAATGACTATGAGATTGTGTTAATTATTTCATGATATTCGCACATTTATGTGAACGTGGGGGATTGGATGGCCGAATGGTTAGCATGTGCATGCTGTATTATAAGGTCTGTCATTGATTCAACTGGCAAGGTTTCGATTCCCCAGTTGTACGTAGCAATGAGTAGGTCGCCTGTCCAACCTCGTGGGTTTTCTCCGGGTCCTCCGGTTTCCTCCCACTGTTATAGACCCCTTACATGCAAGCGAATTGTTGAAATAAAATTGAACCATGTGTTAGTCCCGAAATGACCTAGTTTGTGTGAGTGGGTGTTAAACCCCATATCTCTCTTTTTTTATGTGAAGTATATTGTTGCAACTAGTGCCTGTACAGGTCTAGAGTTCTTATCTGAATTTATGCACCCCTATTTTAATGTGGGCATATGCCGTCTACCTGTCGATCAATCGTTCACATTATTTGTTAGCTCAATCCATAACAAATTTCTGGCAGGCATATGCCCCCTTACAATTTAGTGAAATTTTGCCCCCATGCAACAATTTTTGTAAATAAAGAAAATAGGTCAAAAGTTTCCTTGGCGGCTAGATTTTCCATCAGAATCTAAAAAATATTCCCACTCTCTGGTTCTTTCTGGCAAAAATATTACAATTCTGTCGATATTTCAGTTAAAACCGCCAAAATGTATCTTTGTAGGCCTATTTGAAATGCAAATTCAGCAGTAGCGTGATGACAATTTACTCTCAGGAGGCAAAATGAATAAAGGAACCTAATGCCTTTTCTGAGGTTGGAGATCCAAAAAATTTATCAAGCGATTGGCCTGTCAATGAGAACTGTTCCTACCCCATTTATATATATTATATATCTTGATAGGGACTGAGGAAGAGTCGTAGCCTATATCAGACCCCTCACCCTGTCAGATATAGATACCTGTATTTACATTTTATAAATGAAGGCTGTACACTGGTGGAAACATATACAGCGAGTGTGTGTATCTAATTCGACCAAATTATGAACTGTACTATTATAGTTTGGACGGCTCGGAAAAAAAAAATGTTTACAGTAGTTTCATTGTTGTCAATTCCGTTCAGTAGAATAGCAGTGTTTCAAAGAGTAGACGGGAGATTGTTTATTGTGTTAATAGGAGCAAAGTCAAGAGAACGTGTTCGGTATCTTTAACTTGATTACCCAATTTACAGGTTGTATTGTCAGAAATACGAAGTAAAATGTATGTCCCTTCAGATTTGCGATTTACTTAAACAATGGGCAAATTCCAATAATGCCATTGATCTGTTTATTCCACTTATGCCATTTAGCGAAGAGTTGAACATTCGATGTGTACATTCACAATGTCATTTATGTGGATGAGACAAAGAAATTGACAAAGAACAGAGCCCTGTGGCACGACCGAGGGATTTATTTTCGGAGAAGAGATAATAGCACACGGTATGACGTACGCCTGTCTTCATTTGCTCAGTCGGGGCAGAACAGTAGGACGTTAAAACCCATTTCATTTCATTTCCATTGCTGTACCGCTAAGGATGCAAAAAAACCGAAGTTGTCATTACTATTGCTTGGGGACTGACATCAGTATTACATTTAAATTTAAATCGGTTAGTGGCCCTGTTGCCATCTGGAGTAATTCTCTATGAGATGGACCTACTACAACGATGACAAGGAACGTGTACCTAGTTGTTTACTTTGTAAGGGATCAAGTGTAATGGCCCATTCGTTTACACACTACTGTGGGCGTAAGAGAGTCCTTGGCAGCTGCGGAAATGCCGCTGTGCAGGAAAAATGATTATACCCATCATTGCACATGTAACTATAGAAATAACAATTAACATATGTTTGTCAGAAAATTACCAAAGTACTGTGTTGACTAATGTTGTTTCACAGGTGATGAAAATAAGAGTAAGATGTCTTTTGTTTACGGCAGAGGAAGATTGAATTCAGATGTCATAAAAAAAGGCTGTGTTTGTGAATTATGTCGTAGTGCTATTTTCTGGGAGCTGCTATTTAAGATCAATCTAATTAAAATACAGATCTATATTTCGTTTCGTTTTTTTATACACTTTCGATGGCCTACACTACATGAAGATCTGACAAGTTGCATTCGAAGGTCGTGTCAGGGGTCGCAGGAGCGGCTTTTGACGCTATGACGTCAGACATTGATTAATCAATCAGCGTTGGCGTTTACCCACAGTTCCGTGCATGGCACACCAAGATGTCGCCGTAACAGACTGGTTCATTGGCTTAATCTCACTTCACCAAAAATATAACCTTCCAGATCTTAGTGTAGTAAAGGCAAGTAAAACGAAATTTTGAACTATAAAAAACGAAACGAAATAGGATCTGTGTTTTAATCAGATTCACTTAAGATGGGCGAGATATCAATTCGGACAATGAATTGCTACTTTAATAGTAATTAAAGATAGGTGCCCAGAGAAGTATTTATCGGGTGGTTATTTCCAATAAAAGTATGGCAATTTTGGTATATATGGAAAGTAGAGAAATCCAATCTTACCAGAAAAATACTGGATTCCCTGAAAAACACCCATGGAGCGTATATAGGACAAAAATGTCAGGGTTTCTCTAATCGACAACCCGACGATTAGGAATATTTGCACGCGTGACGTCAAAGGTTGCACGCGGGGATTGATCGCATGATGTACATGTTGATAAACTTTATGAATAGTTAGAGGTACAACACTTTCTGAGATAAAAATCACGGAAAAAGACGCGAGCAGTGGATAATCCGAGAATTTAATTAGGATTCGATATTTGTAATAAATAGTCAGCGATTAAAGACAACACCGTCTTGTGTATGCAATGAATTCTCCTCCGACTTCGCACCCGTAAGTCACGTGACACAAACATGATCTCTTTTGATCAGTTGTTTACAGCAAGGGTATTCCTTGACAATTACAATGTTTTGAGAAGGATTTGAAGCAAATTTATGATAAATTAATTAGTTTGAATATGTTTTTAGACCAAATATATCACCAAATCTCCCAGTTTGTACACGGGAATGTATTTTTAAATTGTTTGCAAAGATACAAGATAACAGCTGCATTGCAGTTTACTAGGGATACTGGATAAATTCTGCACGTCATACGATCCACAGCTTTGATTATTGTCTCCAAATATGCCACGAAAAGTTAGATTCAGAGGGCCGTCAAAGTTTCCCGCGTCGTTTCGCCCTGTCAGTTGTGTAGGGCGGAGGTCCTGGCAAGGAACAGTGTCTAGTCGTTCGGATAGTACGAAAACCCAAGGTCCCTTTATACGTTGCTGTGCAGGTAAAAGAATCCTTGACAGATGGAATTCAAAATAAGAGTAGGCCGTAGAGCCACTGTCCTGACAAAATGTCCCCATAGCAAACTGCATGGCGTATGCTCGTCTTCATTATCCCGGTTGGTGTAGAAAAGTAGGACGTTAAACCCTATTTCACTCCCAGTCGGGTAACCATGTAGTATACAAGAAAGAAAAGGGGTTTAATGTCCAATCGACTCAAACTAGGTCATTTCGGGACTTACACATGGTTCAATTTTTTTCAATAATTCGCTTGCGCCTAGGGGTCTTTAGCAGTGGGTGGAAACCGGGGTAGACGGAGAAAACCAAAGAGGTTGGACAGGCGACCCTACTCCTTGTCACGTACAACTGGGGAATCGAAGCCCCGCCAGTTGACTCAATGACATACCTTACGATACAGCGCGCACGTGCTAACCATTCGGCCATCCAACCCCCCATTATACACGGAGTCAAGGTAAAACTGTTCTATATTCCATTCTGATAACGGGGAATAATGTTGATAAGGAACTGTTCGTGACATAATTAGTCATTATGCGGTCGGGCGACTAGTATTCTAATCTGAAAATGAACACCCTTGTTTATTCAATTCAATACAACCATTGTACAGAACGTAATGAATAATAATTATAATTGAAAATATCCGGCTATACTATTTAAATCGGAAGCCGTTTTGCGACCTGGCCACTATTACGTAGAAATCGGAGACGCACTTAACACTTACAGAACATCTTGAGCGTGGGCACAGTATCTTGTCATGTCAAATTATTATAACATTTAATGCATTTATCAATTTGTATATAAATTATAACTGTCAAGAAACCTGTGGATTTCTTTTTTATTTTTCCTGCACGTAGATAAAAGGTGAGTGATTTTATGCTTTCCTTGTTTTGCTTTGTTTTTAAATTCTATTTTACCATGAATTCAGTTCACATCATACCTTTTAAAATGCTAAACTTTGTCAAATTCAGCTGATTAAATAATTTAATGTAGCTATCTGAAAAGCAGTTTGGAAATAAGACGACTCATTTAAAAAAATAATACCATGAAATCGTATACATCCAGCAGAATCAGTTGTGATTTACTTAAGCCATATCTGCAAACCCCACATTAATTTTCAAGAAATCTTCTGCCTTATACAAAATAATCCGTTGTACCAACGCATTCAATATAACCAAGGAATGCTCACCTTCAAAATTCTAAGGGACAAATTACCATCATATTTATATAACACATTCTGTGAAAATTCTAAATTGACCGAAACTACCATGACATTGAGATCAGAAAGTCAACTTAAATTAGCAATTCAAAAAGTAAGAAAAAGGCAATGACAAGAACATTCCAATATACCGCCTCTGCATTCTGGAATTCATTACCTCAAACTGTGAAACACGCGTCTTCAAGTTTTATCTTCAGAAAGGAGTTAGTAAAACACGTTAAATCTATGAACTCTTGTTATTTACTGTTGTCCCCTGAATGTATGTTTATTTGCCCTTTTTTCTTTCTTTATTGTTTGTTTGTTTGATATTTCTTTAATATAAGCTTATATAATATGATATATATGCACTTTGTAAATATTATTACTGTGTAGTTGCTAGTTTTATAGAGGAGGGACGGTATAGTCATTTAAAGTTAATTTACACGACTTAATGTACAATCAATAATATACTGAAAACAAATGAACAAAATTATGAGTTCTGTTGAAATAAAATAAGATTATCGAACTATGCTCTTTTTAAAAAAAAATGATATTGCGATTTGCTTTATGGTGAGATAAGATTCGGCCAGCATATGGTGTTGCACTGATTATATGATGATTGATGACCATCAATGCGACAATAAAGTGTGGTTTGAACTTAATATGTAGACAATTATTAAAGACATCTACAACCGCTGAAAGGGTTGATACATGAACGACTTCCTATATATACATCTGTATGTCCGTGATAATACTGATATAGTAGATCTAAAGATAGGCTACTGAGACTATTGAACGATTTAAAAGCTTGGCGTCGGCTTTAGTTTGCAAATACTAAAATGTTTCCAGGGCCCATTTATGACGATTGAAAGAAACATTATAACATTAACCAAGAAAACTGTAATTAATTTTAAATAATATCATATAACTTTAAAGTTACGTAATTATCGAAAATCTACGGAAGACCATTAGGGTCAATCAAATGATCAAAAAATATTCTGATTATCTGGCAATTACGAGTCAACTATCTCGTAATTACGACATAGCTAAATCGTAATTTCGAGATAATATAAAGTTCGAATTGCTGATTCATCCTTCCTTCATATGTTAAAGGTATTTGTTTGCTTTAGTGTGGCCCATGGATTTAAATGACTCTGTTGTTCGACTCCATAACGCCAAAGCCCTCACTCGTTCCTGAACTCCTCTCCCTCGTAAAAGAAATCATTTTAACTATAACATCGAAACTGGATCGAAGAACTTCCACTATTTTATGTGCGCGAGTGAGTGTGGGTCCCTACGTGCATGTATGTGCGTTCATTCACACTTGTACGTGTGCGTACGTCAGTGATCTGCGTCTGTGTGTGCGTGTGTGTGTGTGTGTGTGTGTGCTTGATGTGAAAGAGAGAGAGAGTGATTGTAGATAAGGGATGGGAGGGGGCACCAACACGCCCAAATGTACCCTAAGATACCATTTTTTTCCCGACAAATATATACATTTTGTGCAATAATCCGATATGTTTCGGGAAAAGGCACTATTTTATTCCAGTGTCATGGATAAATTGGGACAGAAGTTTAACAGTCCAAATCTTCAAATACCACGTATACCTATGGCACAAAGCCGTATATATCGTTCAGGAAATTAATTTTTGGTGGTTAACGGAGGCTACCGAGATTGCTGAAAATCCAGAAGTATCGAGCTGTAGGGTGTTTAGATTTTCTTTTTTAAAAACGCCATTGTTGAGTTATCAGCAGCCTACGGTGATTTCGCATAAGATCTAATTTTTTTTTCATTGTAGGTCCAATGGAAAATTTTGCAACCACAATGGCGACACTGAATGTGTCAGAGATGGTTGACAATGTTACTATGGTGACACCAAAAGTAAGAGGGGGGATGGCGCTACCTCCTAATTTTATAGATCTGAAGAATGCTGACATGGCCAAAAAGATGATAATACCAATTGTTTATGTAGCCATTATGATGGTACTTGGCTTAATAGGTAAAATCACGGCTTCTCACTGCGTCCTCAAAATGGGGACGGGGGTTCCGGAAACGCAGCAAAAATGTGTCATACAAACATATTTGGAGTAGGCAGCTAGTCATAAGGAGGCAATCTATTAATCCACGCTTCAAGTTTACATGGAGTTATTGTCATGTCACTGAGTTTGGGGATTTGGTCATTCAGAATTCAGACATGCGTGTCTCCTAATGATATTTCTCTTAAAGCAGCGATCTCACACATTTGAGGATCCCTGTGTTTCCATTTTAGAGATGATTGGCTTGGATGTGCATTTTGAAATTAGAGTGTTGAATTGACTTTCTTTTCATTAATTTAGCTCACAAGAGGAATCCATATCAATTATATATTACTAGTTCTATTTTTATTGGAATTTTCAGGCAATGCACTGGTAGTATACATCTACGGCTTCAAATGGAGGAGCACACCTGAAAAATGTTTTATAACTACACTTGCTCTATTTGACTTGGTTAACTGTGTCATTACCATGCCAACAGAAATCGCTACCTTAGTTAGTTTCTACCGTTTCACCTCCCACAGCTTCTGCAAGATCTCTCGATTTTCCACATTTTGGATGAACAATAGCAGTGTGGTGCTTCTTTTCGCCATAGCAGTGGATAGATTCATCAAGATTTGTCTACCAAACAAAATGTCCTTCAACTACCACAAGGCCAAGATTACGTGCGTGTGTTCAACTGTAATTGGATTGGTGGTATCATGGCCGAGTCTTGTAATTTACGGTATTATGACGATACCTATTACTAAGGATATCACAATGACCTTCTGTAACGTAGCAGATGGAATGGAAAATAGTTCGTACACCTTAGGTTTCTACATTTATCTTTGGGTTGCCTTCTTGGCAATTGCACTTGCTATGATTATTCTATATGGTCTGATTGGTATTAGAATCTGGCTGCAGAAATCTAAGGGAGATAAGCGAAAGGACTCTCTGAAAGCGTCCCTGCGGAGTTCAAAATCAGGTTCTCAGAGTCATGAAAAAGAAGTATCCTTGCTATCTATTAAGCCTAAAGTAGAAATGGAAAACACTCAATCCGTTGATTTGAGTGACGACGCATTTGATTCTGGATCATCTGAAGAACCCAAACGAGACGGAGTTGTTATCAAACCCCCGGTGAATCCAGAGCCCAAAACATCGGCAAGGTCGAGGCTCAAGTCAATGACCAGCGTCCATATTAGTAAGTCCGGACTCCAAGCCGGAAAGGCCACTGCAATGCTTTTCGCAATAACCATGGTTTATATTATCAGCTTTCTACCATACTTGGTCATAACCATTATGCGAACCGCTTATGGGGATACCTGGTATCCGAGTCTATCTTTATCTTCGCAGGTCGCGGTTAACCTGTTTCTAAGATCGTATCTGATAAGTAATACCGGAAATGCTATAGTTTACGGATTCTGCAATCTTACATTTCGACGCGAGTGTGCAAAAATATTCACAAGACTATTCTGTTGCAAGAAGAATTAATCAGACATTGAAATCTTAAAATTTAATAAAATGGCCTTAAGTGGAACTTCGTGTAATTACTTTTAAATTGAAAATCAATATGACCACGGAATCTTTGCTGTTTAAAGCCCAATTCAATCAAGCGGTGAAATAGCATGGCGGCCCATTGCACAGCGAATAGAGAGATTTACTGAGAAGATGTTAGGAGTTTGTAATTATTACATAATTATTACTATATCTATTGCTTAATATGATGTCAAACTCTACTATAGAATTATAGGAATCATTCTAGCACTTAGAATAGTAATTAAACATGATATATTATTAGCAAAATTACCGTACCTGTTTTCTATACGCTCCATGGAATTGGCAAAGTTCAATGTTGATGTTTCAACTTTAACATGATATATTTGCAAAATTCTCAATTAACAATAGTGAATTATAGGATTAATAAGATTAATCTTTTACAGAGTAGGACTGTGTATAGATTCCATGTGCTTATAGGATTTATTTTAACAATTTTTAAACATATGACTTAATAAAGAATGCAACTATGGCTTTAAAGCCACAGAAAGGCGGACTAAATTAATAAATTGTCGATGTTATATCTACTTTTAGAATTTTTCAGTGTTGTATTTGGCTATGATAGCAGATCTACAACTCGGCATTTTATGATTGCTCTTATATTCTAAATATTAAATAGCTTTGCTCTGTTTAGGATAAATGGAAACAAAGTTTGATAGGGTTTTTCGAAAACTTTGATTTTTTCTAATCCTAACGAGATATTATTGTCTTTAAGACAGCTGAGTCGAAAAACCCAGACGGGATAAGGCTTTCTAGAGAAAATAATTTGAAAGGCAGATTACTAGATGTTCGAATTTAATTCCAGAAGAACAGCAATTGTTTGCTGTAGTCCACCATTTTGTGTATTTATGTACATTGCAACGGTTTACTGTGTATATTTTTTACATACCATTTTGATGTATTTTTGTAGAAAAGTCTTTATTTACCCATCTTGCTTTATTGCTTTATTAAAAATGTTTTTTTCTTATTATAATTGACTTGCTGTATTTTATCTTAACAGGAGATGAATCTCTAACTCAATATTGTCCATAATATTCAAAATTAAAAACTCGAATTGTAGTTCAATTTTAGTTCATTTCAATCGATATTGTTGTGAAAATATGGGATCCCAATATCCAATATTTAAGAAAAAATTAATATTTTCAAATCAGTACACGAGTCGTGTACCTCACGGATATAATGGTTTCGAGCGCCATTTGTAATGGACAATGGATAACATATCCCAGAAGACAATGTGGAAGTAATTAGAATGTACTAATCAGGACCAGACGAATACATTTCAAATTGGACTACAATAATGAAATTGAAAGAAAAAATGGTGTAACTGAGAATAGAGCCACGCCGCCTTTAACATAATAGTTTTATAATTCTATGAGTTCGTTCATAAACATGATGGGGTGGGTGGGTGGTTGGGTGACCGAATGGTTAACGCGTATGCGTTGCATCATTAGGTCTGACATTGAGTCAAGTGGCGTTGTTTCGATTTCCCGCTTATATGCGACAAGGAGTATGGTCCCCGGTCCAACCTCGTGGGTTTTCTCTGGGGCTCGCCCCCCCCCCTGTCACTGCTAAAGACCCCTACGCACAAGTGAATTAATAAAGGTAGTCTCGAAACGATCTAGTCAGTGTCGAGTGGAGTTTAGTTCTCTTTTATTGATGATTTAGAATTAAGAACTTATTCATCGCAAAAGAGATATTATGATTATTATGTAACATACTAAGAACCTAACTACATTTTTGGGGCACCAACCACCACCGCCCCCCCCCCAGTCCAAAATTTCCCCGTACGCCTATGCTCCTCACTGGCTTATTTCATAAAGAATATGGTCACAAACTTCTTCAATTAATATCTGATATTTATTGTTTAAAGAGACAATGTGACAAATGAAATGAGATGGGCTTTAACGTCCTACTGTTCTGCGCCGACTGGGCTAATTGAGACAGACATACTCCTGTCAGTGTGCTATAACAGAAACTTTGTCCGGACAAGGCTTCTTTATCGTTACACGGGGCCTCGGTTTTTCGTCCTATACAAACAACTAGACACCGCCCCTTGCAGACACTGTGATAGAAGGCCGTTAAATGTTTCATTATCTAAACATACATTATGCAAGAGCTAAATCTGTCTATTGGAGGTCTATCTTTAGACCTGAACTGTTATCTAAATTATTAATTAGACATTAATTAACTTATCCAGACCATAATCAACTCCCGATGCCATCAGATGGCTTCTGTATAAGTAGATTTAAATACTTTTTGTGATGGATTATTTAAAGTAAAAATAGATAATCGAGACATTTTTTATTACCAACGCTAGTAATGACGATTGAAATTAGCCTAAAATAGAATCACTAATAATTTGGTTCAAAGTGAAGCAATTTGACTGAAATTTTCAGCGTATTCTGTTGTCATTATCTATTCTTTAATTATTATAGCGATAGTTCTTTATCTAATCTTACCTAATGCTCCTTTAAATTTTTTAAAAATAAAATAGAATTGAGTTAAACGTTTCGTCGACACACTACCTCGGTCATTTTAGGACAACCCCATAGGTTATTTTTTCTATGGTGGAACTTTGCACAGGCAAGTACAAAATGAGAAATCTGTATAAATATAAACACAACGCTTCGACAGTGGCGGCGCCAGCCGTCGGTGATTGGAGGGGCAAAGCTAGGGCAAAGTCCAAGGTTAAGGGGGCAAAGGCACGAGCTTCAACTAGGGTTAGGGGGCCTTCCCCAGAAAATTTTGAAAAACAGGTTGCCGGAAATACAGCCTGGCAGTATTTCAGGCACTGATCGATGAGGTAAAGTGTCAAACGAACGGACTTTCGAATCACGACGAAGCCCACTCACGAGCGTCAAAGTAGGGAGTCCTCCCCCAGAAAATTTTGAAAAATAGACTGCCGGAAACGCTGTCTTACAGTATTCTGTCAGGCACCGATCGTCGAGATAAATAGATCTGCCCAGATACCGTTCGTCGCCTGACCACTAGTTTATATCCGACTAGAGAACAAAATGTCAAACGAACGGACTTGCGAACCTCAACGAATTAACGAATTCCCCTTGTGAGCGCCAAAGTAGCGAGTCCATTGGGGACCTCGCCAAGAAAATTTTGAAAAATAGACTGTCGGAAATGCTCTACAACATGCAAGTTTATGATTGAGTGGGGATGTGGAATTTATTCACCGTAGAAGGTATTGATTACCGAAACGTATCACAAATACTTTTTTTTATTTTCTAAAATTATTGGGGGGAGGGGGCAAACAGAGGGCAGACCAGATTAATGGGGGGGGGGGGCCAATTCCCCCCCCTTGCCCCTCCCCCCTGGCGCCGCCACTGGTCGTTATCAAGCAAACAAATTTACAAATGAGGAAAAAAGCGAAAGCGTTATATATTCTAAGCAGCAAAAGAATCGTCAAGTTGGTATGTTGCTCTGAATAGACGCATTGCACAAAACTTGCCAAATGTTTTTATTGTATATTTGTGACCACATCTCCAACTTTACCTGAACAATAAGACTCCTTCCCAAACACAGAATTGAACCCAGGAAATGTTCTCAAAAATGCAACTTGACTTCTGAGATGGTAATATGTTCTCCATGATTTTCATGTAACTCATACTGCACGTGCTGTTCCCCGGGACCAGCCCTATAAAACGCCCCCCCCCCCATACCTGGTTGAATCATTCACACAACAACGTCGGCAGCATGTCACGACTCACGACAGCTCAGAAGAACCAAGCGCTTGGAAGACTCGATGCTGGCCACACTGTCCAAGCCGTTGCCAATCACTTCCAGGTCAATGTTCGGACCATCTACAGGCTTCAGCGACGCTTTCGGACCACCAACACCACGGATGATCGCCCCCGAACTGGTAGACCAAGGGTTACCACAAGATGAAAAAACCGCCATGTTGTGCGGCAGCACGTGCAGAATCCCCTCACGCAAGCATCTGAGACAGCACGTCAGACAGTGGGAACACACGGAAGATCCATCAGTACCGATACAGTGCGCCGACGTCTCACCAGAGAGAACATCCATTACCGTAAAACTTACCGTGGGCCGATTCGCATCCCCCACCTTCGATGTGAACGACTACAGTTTGCCCAACAACACCAAACCTGGCGACACAGGCAATGGAGAACTGTTCTGTTCACAGATGAGAGTCGCTATTGCGTATCAACTGCAGATGGCAGGACCAGAATATGGCGTCGACGTGGCCAGCGTTATTCTGACCAATGTGTCATGGAACGAGACTCATGGGAAGGTCCAAGCATAATGGTTTGGGGTAAAAATCTGCCTGAACCTGAGAGTGGGTCCTGTGGTGTTCCAAAATATTGGTCGTGGGAGAAGAGGCGGCATCACAGCAGTGCGCTACACCGATCACATACCACATTTAGCATGTCATCGAAACAACGTTTTCCAGCATGACAACGCCCGTGCCCACACCGCCAGAGTTACTCGGGACTTTTAACACAGAGATCATTGCTACGAGAGATGTGTAACAAGCACGTGAAGAAACGGGAAGTGACGTCAAACATGACCAACACGAGTTGTCCTTCTATATAACTGACTGAAGTAACGAGCGATAACAGACAAATTTCATTTCACTGATAATTCAGTTGAAGATGAAAAGTTGTTATATGAGACGATGAGAGGATATCTGACGATAATAACAGGCCAATTGCCTACACATGAACATTAACAGTTCACATGGGCGGCTTATCTGACGGCCCCATTTCACTCGCATAGAGATAAACCGTCAAAAGTGAAAATGGACGTTTTTGATTTTTGTCTTAATAATGAGTAATTGCTCCACCAATCCTCAGACATTCAGCAATTCGTCGTGACATGCTCCTAATCAACCGTCCAATCACGATTTGGGGCAATCTGACCCACTCCTCTTGCAGTGTCACGGCCAATTCTTGCAGTGTTGACGTTGACGTCGACGAACACGTCTCCCGGTCAAATTAAACGTAACACACTAAAGCAAAGATACGCTAAACAGTAATTCTTGTGCATGAACCGATAGGAAAGCAAACATGGATAGATAAACCAGCGCGCGGCAGTTTTCATCAACCCTTCCTTGAAGTGTCAAATTTCACAATGAACCCCTTCCACGTGTATGGCGCTAATGCGTGTCGCATGTGCCACTCAGTGGTTCTGTTGGGGCGATAAATTCTTCATCTGTGAACCTCAAAGCATCTCAAATGTACATGACTATTTATCATATCTCAACCTGCATAGCTATTTGCATTTCAATATCCCCTACTTTTTTTTGAAGAGTATATAAAATAATACCTGGGCATCTTAGTAGTTTGGTGTGTGTGTGTTGGTTGGTTGGGGGGATGCTTAACGCAAGCGCGTTGCATCAAGAGGTTTGTCACTAAGTCAAGTGGCGTGGTTTCGATTCACGGTTTCCTCCCGCTGCTAAAGACCCCTACGGGCAATTCTTTGTTGGAATAAAATTGATAGAATTGGGACAGGTTAAAGGCAGATCTTCAACATACACACACTCATGCTGTTCATGCTTGATAGTTCATAAAAAGATAATAGATAATGCAAAATGAATATATTGAAAATTTCATTCAAATTACTTTATTCTGAGCGAAGTTATGACTGTTTGTAGTTTTGACATTGCATGGGTTGTTTATGTGACGTCATGGGTGGATGCAAACTGCTTTATCCGACTCAGAGATATAGAGTTCCCATATGTTGATAATACATTCATAGGGTCTAACATTGATAGTTTTTGAGATATTGACTGCTTTTTGCTGATTGGTCAAGCTTGACCTTTGAACCCGCCCGAAAAAATTTCCCCAGCGATCATGATGGGTCATTTTTTTCTGGAATAACTACGGACCCCACCTTTCATTTGAGAATAAGTTTGCTTTTGTGAGACTTTTATTCCAGGAAATAATCTAAATCCGGCAGACTATTATGGTGGGGAGGGTTAAAGGTGAAAAACCGTTAAGT